GAAGGGCGAGTCTGGCCGCTGCCACCATCCTCCTCGCTCCTGGACGTGTCTCCTGCAAGAGCTCGTGGGCTCAATACCAGGTCCCACACCAGGTCCCACCTGCACCCTCACCCACCCTGCTATGGACTGAATCCGTTCCTTTTCAGCCAGCCAGAGGAGATGGCAGCCCTGGGTTCTGTGTCTCCCTCTCCCCTCCCTGGCCCGCACTCTATTCCCATGCATGGCTCAGGGTGCCCAGCCCACACGGGCAGCAGCGTGTCCCAGCCCCACCATGCCCAGCCTCAGCAGGAGGCACCCGGGCGAGCCAAGCTGCCCCATGGGGACACGGGAAGAGCACTGCCATGGACATGGGTGGGGAGACCCCAGCCCTGCCCTGGCATCATGCAGCAGCAGCAATGGCGCAGACAGAGCTGGGGCCCGTGGGGCTGCAGGGACTGTGTGCACAGCATTGTTTTCACCCTCCGAGCTCATAGTGCTGCCAGACCCAGGCTGGGGAGGCAAACTGGCCACATCAGCACAGTTCCCCTTTGTCTGGGCTAATCCCCAGGCACTGGGGCTGATTTGCAAACTCAGCTCATCTTCCCCTCAAAGAAGCAGCGACAAAAGTCAACGTGGGGCTGAAAATTGCGCTGTGGCAGGCCGCCCCCTCCAGTGAGGGCAGAGCTCAGCTCCCCTGGGGGTTGGCGGGGCTGAGATGGGCTCCTGCTCACCCACAAGCCACCTCCGAGCATCCCAAGGCCATAACCCTGCGAGGGTCCCGCTCCTCACCTGCTCTCCAGAGATCGGAAGGAATAATGACTTCTCACGGACCACCGGGAACGAAGAGGAGCTGCCCTTTATAGCCTGGTGCTAACCAGCACCACTGTTTGCCCAGCTCAGGTGATTCCCACCATAAAAATCTTACTGCTGACTCCTCTTCATCCCTCCCGTTTTGCTGGAAAGCTGCCCAGATCTCCGATCTGTTTGCATTCGGTATTTCTCCAGAAAAAGGCAGGAAGAACCTCTCCTAGTTGGTCAATAAACCCCCTGCAATTAGCATTAATTACCAAGGCAAATAGATATCCTTACAGCAGAGAGCAGCCTGGCACCAGGCAGGGATGCCTGTTGGCCCAGCCCCAGCTGAACGGGGGGCCAGGAGGGTTGAGCCCCGGAGGAGGCTGCCCTGGTCCCGGCCGGAGCATCCCTGCAGCAAGTGCGGGGCTGTGAGTACCACCCACCGGCATTGCCCGCATCCCCAGCTGAGAGATGGCACTCAGCCGGGCTTCGCGCCCTGCCCAGCTCCGCCATGCGTCACCCGCACACCGCCCTTGTTTGAACTGCCTGGGGATGTTTGTCAGCAGGACGCAGGACAAGGTGATGTGGGAACAGCCTGCAGCCGAGGCTGGCAGGTGCCATCAGATAGCGCTGAGGGTGTCCGGTCTCCACGCCCGGCAGTGACGCAGGGCATCGTCAGTCTGCGTCTCTCCAGGAGGAAGGGGCAGGGCCCGCAGGAAAAAGCCGCATCTGGGGTACCTGCAGCCCTGGCTCCGGGGGGGCTGCTGCTGGCACAGAGCCACACCAGCAGCTGGAGCCCTTGGAATGGTCAGGAACAGCCTTCCCCAGCACGGTCCACACTTCTCACTCCGGAGAATCCTCTTCGCACTGGTGGAAAGCAGCTGAAGCTCATCTGACCTACTGCTTCAACCACACTGCTTCTTGAGCATCGCTTTGCTGGTTCCTAACGTACCAAAGTGGCTTTGGAAGCTCTTCTTACTGCCTGTCCCGTGGCCTTATGCAAAACTGCCAGCTCCTGCCCAGCGCCCCACTGCTGCCAGCTACGGCCAATGTCCAGCTTTCCTTCCCCCAGCACTCCTGAAGACCCTTGGAGGAGGCCACCAGGAGCTACCCAGGACACAGCGACCCACAGAGGATCCAGCTTCATAGCTGAGCCCCTCATCCCCCAACACAGAGGGCTTGTAGCTGGCTGAAGCTGTTACTCCTGGCTGTCAGGCTCAAGCCATGTCCCCCAGGGATCTCCCACGGCTCCTTTGTGGCAGCGTTTGCCAAAACGTGCAGCAAGTGCTGCTACGCCCACAGGGAGCAGCTCCCTGCCAGCGTGCAGAGGCAGGTTTGGCTTTCACCCCAGGGAGGGAGGAGGATTAGACCTGTCTCCTTCACCTACGCATGCGGGATACAGCTGCTGCAGCACCCCGACACCTCTCAAGGCTCGGCCAGCTTGCAAGGCACCTGCCAGGATCAAAGGGGTAAAGCTTTCTCATGTCCAAACGCAGCTGCTGCCAGTTGTCTTTTTTTCCTACACCCTTACAGAGATCAGCCAGAGGAGATCAGCCCCTCAGACTAATGGAGAAACTCTTCAAACACAGCAAACCACCACACACACTGGCCCCCTCCTCCAGCCCAGAAGACAAGACTCCACCCTTGTTTTACGAAAAACCATGCAAATGTTCCCCAAAGGAGCCTGAGGCTATTTCATTACTCCTCGGTTAGATAAGGGATAGCCCAGCTCCCTGCCTGGCTGGTTCAATTAGGCTTATTTGGATGCAACACAGCAAGTTTTCACAAGCCCCTTGTCATTCCAGGCTGGAGAAGAGGCATGCACCATCCTCGAGGAGATGGAGCTTCAAGTCTCAGCCTGAACACTGGCAAACTCACAGCCGTGCCAGAAACACAGCAGAGCTCACTAAACTTTGGCACAGATATACAACCTGTGGGAGAACATGGATGAGAGCCTCCTGGAGGTTAGTACTTGTCAAGCTGGCTCTACTAGAAGATAAAGGAGCTGCCCTGTTTGAATATTAAACCCTTAAAATGCTCCCAGCAGCTTTATCCCTGCTAGGTGTCATAATTCAGCTACTGGCTCCATCCGAGTCTGCAGCGAGAGCCAGAAACCAGCCAGGTGAGCACTAGTGGAGCCCAAGGCTTCAGTGGCACCTCCCTGCTCAAAATACAGGAACGCAGCCATTGTCAATTTGTTCTCCAATTGTTCAAGTCAAACTGTTCAAGTCTGAAAAAGCAGCACAGAAGAGCCACGATTCCCTGTTTCAGAGAGGCTGGAGAATTGCACATCTTCATGCATTAGCCGCCAAGCCAAAGCCAGGGAGGCAGCCTCGGCTCCAGGGATGAGGGTCCTCCTCCCCGTTGCAGGAATAGCAACAGCCCAGGGAAGCGAGCAGGACCTGAAAGGGTGAGCAAAGCCACATCTCCAACAACTACTGCCTGATCCATGCTTGCCCGTGACCTTTCTAAAAGCCACACAAAATCCCTGGCTCCCAAATTCCCAAGCAAGTGAGAGCTCTTATTCAAAGCATCTCAAAAAGGCCCCATCCCAGTCCCTCCCAGGGACAGTCCTTCCCAGTACGCCCAGCTGCTTGGCTGCTGGTTTCTGCCCCTTTCTCAGCTAACCAAGAGACCCAGAATCCTCCTGCTACACCCAAGCTAGGCTGCTTTCGGCTCCCAGGCATAGCTCCTTGGATGGAGCTAAGCGGTGGGGTTTGTGCGCTGCTGAGCCACAGCACAGAGCACCCTTGATCCCCAAAAGCTCTCCTGACACAGACTGCGGGGGTCCAAATGAGTCCTCCCTTACCAGGGGTCTGAACAGTTACCCCACACCCGTGATCTGTTTATAATCCAGTGGCTGTGCCACAATAGCCGGGAAGACAAATAAAACCGGCAGGATTCAAGACTCTGGACAGATACTTTTTATTTTGGGGATAAAAATTGCTTATACGTTTTGCAGCAACTATTTTCATAAAAGACTTTTATAAAAAATGTAAAAATAAGCAAATATTTTCCATTATTAATGTAGGAAAATGCTGCTGTGTGAATGGTTACTCTACAACTTATGAGATAAAATACCACCTTAAGGAGATATTATCTTTACAAGTAGTTAAAAAAAAAAAAGGCAGAGGGCCATCGTACTAATGCGCCAGGCACGAAACTGGCTTCCTTCCACAGAAAGCACTCATCTTGTAAAAGGCAGCCACATACATAAAAAGGCACTTGGTTATTTGGGGCTAATGAGGAAAAGCCCTTTGTTTCTTTAGCATTGATGTAGCAACACTTCATTATTTGCCATGAAACATGTACCTGGACAGACCTCCAGGAGCTTGTGGGCTCCTACCTGGAGATCTGAGTCAGTTGCAGCTAAACTTCACAGGACACACTGCAGCGAGCGTGCCAGGGAACGCTCTGTGCGTCGTAAAAAGCAGTAACTTCAGAATTAAAAACTTCAGCCCAAAACGACAGCCCCGGGAATCAGCTCCTCCTGAGGCCCTGCCTTCATGTACCATTGAGTTGAATTGAAAGAAAAAGCTTCTACTCTTGATTAGAATGGAAAGAAACACCAGAAAAAATACTGTACACGGTAGGATGCTGAATGGCCGCTGCTCGGATGGGAGCGGCCTTCTCTGTCCTTTGGCGGCAGCTGACAGCCCCGATCTCTTTGGAACATGTGTCTGCAGGATTCCCTCGAAGAGGTAGGAGCAAACCATCCCCAGAAATGTTCACTTCGGCTGCTGACCAGTTCACAGCCCTTCAAGGGAAGCGTTCCTCTTGTGGACAAAGTAGAAAGAATGGCTGTTTGTCCAAGGTCAGCATCAGCTGGCTTCTGTAACTCCAAAAATATCGGGGGAGCTGCAGTACAAATGGCACTACTGTCCCACAGAGCACATGGGGCACCTCAGTTGGGAAATCTTGATACAGGCTGAAGCTGAGAGCAGAGGACAGTCCCAAACCTGTTAACCAAACTGCATTAGACAATTGTTTCTGGGCTATTTGGTCTGCCACTCAAGCCCCCAGCTCCTGGCTTCAGGCATGCTGCTGGAAGCCTGCTCCGCAGACCTCCTTGTTGGAAGGGGAAGACAAGGGAGCCCTGCCCCAGGGCTGGAGCGAAAGGGGCCCCTTCAAAGGGCTGGATGCCGTTCCCGACACAGAAGGATACACACAGAAGACACCATGTAACAACATCCTCCAGACTTCTTGATAATATCATAAAAAGGCAGCATAAGGTATCTGGAGAACAGGACACACAGCCACTCTTGTTTGGAGGGGAGGAGAGTACTGTGCAAGAACGCTGGGAGCTTGTGTTACCAAGTTTTGAAACACTCATGCTCATCCCAAGGGTTTCCCAAAAGGCCTGTACCAGTTGCAGGGCATCTCTTCCAGCACGGGAGACCGTGAAGGTGGTCATGGACACACCTGGCAGGACGGGGGCACGGGAAGGGTAGTGTATCAAAATGGTCAGGTGTGTCTTGAGGAAGACATACAACACAGGAGAGATGTGCCTACAGGACACCTTGGTGGGAAAAGCAGGTCAGACCAGCGTTTTCAGGAGGGGAGGGGGGAAAAAAAAAACAAATAAAAAAACCCTAAGAGAAGACTATATGTATATATAATCTCTTAATACCTGGGGGGCAGGCAGTGAGAACGCTACAGGGCGTTAGTGGGTCTGTACAAGATAGAAGCTCGTGAAGAAGAAAGGGTGAAGCTGCGTGACAGAGGTGTCACTTGACCTGTAGGTGTTTTGGGAAGTCCGGCTCACTTGCTGGGCAAGAGCAGCCGAGAGAAGGAGAGGTCTAGGAATGCGGGCGCAGCTCTGAGCTGTCAAGACAAGGCAACTTGAACTCGAGGAGAACTAGTAGAAGGTGCTTCAGAGAGAGCTTATGTGGGTAACAAAAGGAGTAAAAAAATTAAGGATACAAAGCTGGTTTTGGCTAAGTTTCTGGAGAAACGACCATGAGACGCGTTAAAACTGAAGAGCTGTCTCCTCAAAGAAATGGTGGAACGTATTAAAAGCAGACTGGAGAATCCAGTACAGACAGCAATCACACCCAGGTTGCATGGGAGTTGGTTAGAAGTGACCAAGCTGGTCTTCTCCATCACCAGCTTCTACAGTTCTTTGTTTAGCATAAAAGTGTACAAGCCTACAGCGACCACAGTCCCTCCACAGAAAGAACAGCCTGGGCTCATTAAGACTCTTGGATACTAAAATGGTTCTTCATTTCCGTCCTGGAAGACCTTCATGAGTTCTGGAGTCCACTTTAATCGGGCTTCCCCTTGGCCGGCCTTCAGGCGTACACTTGCATGTTGTTCCGCTGCTGCTCTGTCATGTGCGCGGCCGCCGGCCCACGCTGGTTGTTACCGGGACTGGTTGCCACATCGGACCAGTCAGAGGCAGAGTGCGGGGAGGAGCTTGACCACTGGTCTGGAGATTCGGGCGACGGAGTCAGGTACGGGTGTTCCCCTTGTAAGTGCCGGTTGTGGCTAGGAGTCCGTTCTGTGGCCGAGGAGTAGCAGCTGTGCTGCGAGGGAGGTGTGGGGTACTTCCCCATCGAGCTCTGGAACTGGTGGTAGGCTGGGAGGACCGTCTGAGCCACCTGCCCGTCCTGCTGAGGGATGGCAGCCATGGAGAACGAGGCGCTGGGCAGCTGAGCTAAATCCGGTATCTGGTACATGGAGCTAAGAGGACCAGCCATGTTCTGAGGGCAGTTTGACTGGGCCTGCTGTGGCAGTGCTTGCTGGTTTATGCCACCCTTGGGAACCAGCTGGAAAGTCATGATAGGGGGCAGAGACTCTCTGGACACTCCCATGTGCTTTGTATCTGCTTGAACCAAACCACTCTGCTGAGAAACACTGGGGTGCGAATGCATCACCTGTGGCACCATGCCGAACATCTCGTTGTACTGGGACTCGTTCACCTCCATACGATTCATCCACTCGGTGGAAACGTTGGCTGGCCGGAGCCTGCCGAGCCCACTGTTAGGAGGGGGGGTTCTGTGCTGCGCAAGCAGCTGGCTGACGGACGGGAGCACGGTGCTGGATCCACGTCCTAAGGGCTGCATCTCGTGGAGGTTGGAGAAAGACATCGCGTGCGCGGCTTGCACCGATGGAGCTGTCAGGAGCGAGCTGGGCGATGAGTGCAACACCCCCGGTGATGGCATCACAGGAGACGATGTTGGTTCCGATGCAAAAGCATGGGGCGATTCTAGGGAATCAACCGGCGACAGGGTCACTGAGCTCTCCGAAAACTGCCCTTTGCTCTCACTGAGGGACTTCTTCCTTCTCCTCTTCGCATCTTTGGTGAGGTTTGTGGGCATGATGCCTTTGGCATTCGGTTTTCGTGACTTCTTGCTTAACGAAGCGTGCTTCAGATTGAGGAAGGACCTATTCGGGCCACAGATGACTGGGGAGAGGGCGGAGTTCAGCATGGCGCCAGGGTGCCCAGTGGGGCTGTGTGCCACATTGTACTCGTTGAGAAGCTGCACTATGTCGTGGTGCATCCGGTCCTGCGCCACGTCTCGGGGCAGGCGGTCCATGTGGTCCGTGATGTCTCGATTGGCAAAATGGTCCAGCAAGATCTTTGCAGCTTCGAAACTGCCTTCTCGAGCAGCAAGGAAGAGCACTGAAAACACAGAGAAGAGATATTTTATCAGCCTCACTGTCTTACAGCTAACACTGCCCTAATGGTGTGGCAACAACTGGAGGCATCATCTAATGCAGTGTCACATTAATTGCCCCCAAGAAAAATCCAGCCTGGGTGATGCCCATTGAAAAAGTAGATTACAGGCGATGACTTCATACATGGCAAGAGAGCACACAAGCTAAGCTGTGTGCATCAGTAAGTGCACTATTCTGCTGTGGGTCCTTGGAGGAACTGCAAAAGCACCTGGTGCCTTTCTCCCATTGTCCCCCTATGAGGGAAAGGTACGAGGGACTAAAACCACCAAGTGAAGAACTGCAGCTTGTTGGTAGCAATAAAAGCGACTGAGCAACACACAATAATCCAATAAAGAAACCCTAAGGCAGGTGAAAGAAATCAAGGACTAAGACACAGCAAAAGCTAACAGTAAAGCTACAGGTCTGCACACTGCAGACTGTCTCTCAAATAGAAGGGCTTCTCCCCATATCCGCCCTGCACTGAGATCCCTGGAAAGGTGACAGGACATGATTACTGCTATACCATCACATGTGGCTCCCTGCTAACCAGAATCCAGCTGCTTGACACCAGCAGCACTTCACACCCTGGTGCTCTCACACATCACTGACTGCTTATTGCATTCCTTTTCTGCAAGAAAAGCAGGGCAGCATCGATGCCAGGGACTTGGTCACACAGGAAGAGAACTGCTCTCCCACATCAGAAATCCTACAAGACATCCAGCACTTGGGGAGCATTCCAGTCACAGTCTGGGTTTGGAAGACTGGCACTGAGCACCCAGTTTAGAAAATCTGAACTTAGCTCACTTCCAACGGCAAAGAGATGCTTTGTATTAGGAAGCACAGTCACGCTGAGCACACCTAAACTGTACCTTGTTATCCTGCATGTCTCTGTTGGCTCCGTTTTTCAGCAGCACTAGTGTTGCTTCCACGTTGTTGACAGCAGCAGCCCAGTGAAGAGCAGATTTGCCTGCAGGGAAATCCAACAACTTCAGTAACAAACCAACGTGCTATTTCCTAAAGCACCAAGATGGACAGAGTACACTGAGGGAAGAAAGCAACTGCAGCGCAGCTCACAGCACGCAAACATGTCCTGAAGTCATGTTTACGCTTTGGAAATCAACACGCTGTGATGCACCCCTATGTTACCAAGCTGCAATGAGATTTTCAGCACTTGCTCTGGGATTTTTTTAATTTTTATTTTTTTTTAAATAATCTATCCACAGAGCCATGACTGCAGTCCAGAAAATCCCAGCGTATCAAACCCCGTATTTCTTCCGCTTCTCTTTCAGGACTGTCTAACCAAGCCACTCTGCAGCAGCCTGCAGTCTATTACTGCTGAGAGGATTTGTGCAGGAGAGCCTCGTGTCCGATTTAGCTACAGAATTTACGAGCAGCCCACATTCCAATAGAGCAGAAGCCCACCCCTCCTTGCTCGCACCAGGACAAACATTTGCCCAGCCCAGTATGCCGTGTTCACATTACCATGGTCATCTACGGCGTTCACATCTGCCTGGCAATTAATTAGCTCGGCCACCATTCCTTCCACAGCCAGCCGTGCAGCCAGAATTAACGGGGTCGTTCCATCATTCATCCGAGCATCCAAGTCCGTCACTCTGTTACGGATCAGAATCTGGATAACAAGGGAAGACAGGTTTTTTTTGACACTGCTACAGAGCAAAACTGAGGATTTGGCAGAAGCTCAAGAGAAACTTTATCATGAAAAAGCAGCCTGAGCACTGAAATGCAAGGACCCAGATAACAGCTGACAGAGGCAAACAGACCAAATAAGTACATGCCAGTTAATTTACGCATGCTGAGTTCTTCAAGCTGGGAATACCTGAGGAAACTGGATGTGAAATACAATTTCGCCTGGCCATCACACTGTGGAAGGCACGAGAGCAAGGCTGTGAGTGAACAGCGTGCAGCCTGGACAGGTTCATACGATTACTGAGCACAGCTACTTTAAAAGGGGTTCTTCAATTGTTGTACCTGGAAGACTCCCTGGGCGTCCGCAGCTACAGCTGCGTGCAGAGGAGTCCGTCCCATGTTGTCCCGTGCATTAGCATCGGCACCAGCATCCAGCAAACGTTTTGCAGCATCTGCTCTTGAATAACGGGCTGCTAAGTGCAGTGCCATCTCCCCAGTACGGTCTGTTTGAGCCTGCAGGTTGGCACCTTGATAGATCAAATCTGTTATTATATTTGCTGAGGAATCTTCTGCATCCTCATCATCCTCGCTAATATCGGAGCTGCCCACACGCAGAGATGCCAACATAAGCGGAGTACACCCATCTGCAACAGAAGAGATGTTATCATAAGTAACCTGATGATGACAGCAAAGGAAAAGAAACCCTCCCATAATCCTCTCCTTTTGAGCATCTACAGCTAGAGAGAATCCCTCCAGTCGCTTTAACTCAAACGTCGTCTCTTATCTTAAAGCCCAACAGAGTTAGTGGGTTGTTTTCCTTCTAAGCAGGACTTTAATACTTACTGCAACTCCAACAGAACCGAGCTACTTCTCAAGTAAGCAAGCTCATTGTAAAGCAAAAAATGTTTGCTACTGAAGCCGAAAGCTTCCTCAATACGTAAAGGCTAGCTAGGTCCCCAGAGAGATGCAAGAGCTATAAAAACCAAAGACCTCAGATGACTTAAGTATAACTTTTCAGGAGGATGTTCAAATCACATACCTGGGGAAAAGAAACAATTGACAAGGAAAAATTACAGGACAACAAGCCACTGATTATTGGTGGCATTTCCCAGATACTAACCTGAAGAGAAATGCACACAAAAGCCTTTATATATATTAGATACCAAAGTCTTCATTAAAAGGACAGTGAAGTTGTGAGAGTCAAGCACTCAAAGCTGGAAAATGCCCCAGGATGACTGCCTGAACCAACCTCATCTTGCTTTTAATAACATCCATGACCAGAGGCCTAAACAAACTGATCAAGCACACGCTGTACTTTCACAGAAGTACACCACGTAGGAAGGGACCATGGAACAGGATCTAATCCGGTATTATTCACTGGTGTACCAGTAGCATCCTACACACATGCCATGCTTTGTTCCCCATGCACCCATCCACTGCAGCACGGACTGCCCACAGCTGCACACTCTTGGAAGTCTCATCACAGTTTGGGTGCTTTGGAAGATACTGGGCTCCTGTCTCTCCACAAATCTGCAGTGATGGGACATCCATAATGGCTAAATTGAGGCTAGGATCATTCATCCAGCCAGGATCCTTCTATTGACACTGGAAGGAGAAAGATTAGAGATCTGGAGGAGCCTAACTTAGCACCCTTGGAAGAACCTCCCTCTCTCTCCGCTGATCAGAGAGGGTGGTACAGGAAGACTAACTCACACTGCTGATTCTTCACCCTTGTTAACAAAACACCTCCGTCATTTTCAGCAACCTATCAAATGCCTAGTGCTTCAGTTTCAGCACACTCTGAACTTTATAGCATGTTCATGACCTAAACCCAAAGACTCCAACTGTAGCTGCTAATGCTTGCTTACTGGTTTTACTGCTTTACCCCACGCACATTGCTGGCACCTGGAAAGTAAGAGGGACTAACACGGCAGCAGGAGTGGAACACCCTGTGCTCAGTGCCCCACTGGAGCTCTGCAAAGGTGAATACAAATTTTGCTTCTCCAGCATGACTCACTAGCAGAAATTCAGGGCACTCTTTCAGCAACTGCCTGATTTATTCCGTTGACAAGCAGGGGACCCCTCCCTGGACCCCACGGACAACAGCTTCCCTGCCTGCACAACTCTTCATCTACAGCGCACTATCTGCACTGAATAAAGTGCATGAGCCCTGCAGAAAACTATACAGTGTGATGGCAGAATTAGGATTCTGTGCAGATAAACAAGGCGCTGATCTCCTACTGAAAATAATACACAGAGCTCTAATGCCCCGACCCATTTCTCAAACTCTGATTTATTTTTTTTTTTCTGACTCTCTTTTTTAGAGCATTTGCAAAACTTCCATGAAATTCTAGAAATCTGTTGTTCTACCACAGGGAACAGTGTCGAGCACCCGCAGAGATGGCGGCTGCGGCCTGCAGGTCTGCTCCCCAGCCAGGCTGGCAGCAGCAGCATGCACACTCCTCCTGGTGGCTCACCACCACAGGACACGCAGGCTTTCACTAAGCTCCTTTCGCAGGATTTGTTGGACGGCGGCGGCGAAGTGTTGACGTATGGGCCTGGGTTCAGTTCCAAGATCTAATCCTGTCTATAGACCCTCTTCTTGCCTGTTGTCCAAGGCTATACCTCCTTTTGTGCTTCTCCCTCCCACTCCTGGCTCTGCTTCCTTGTCCCAAATGAATACTTCTCAGTATTCAAGTCAGGCTGTGGTCTCCTCCGTACTGCCCCGACACAAAGAGCAGAGAGACGGAGCACAGAAAGGAGCTTTCCTTTTCTCCACTACCACAGCTCTGAGAAAAATCACTCGCAGGAAAGGTCTTGCTTGCTCAATCACTGTAGTTGTCCTGGACAGATCAAGTCTAGCTGCTCTATAGGGACACAGATATAGTATGCACTAATTCCTTGGAAAAATTAGCTGCCACCCTCCAAAAAGTCTCTCAGGTATATGCAGGTCTTTTCAGAGCTTTGTAAGTTGGCCACACACGGGTAGTTTTATAAGGCTAGCAAAAAGCACATCCAGCTAGACCATCACAATTAAGTGCTTGATGGACTACTGGAAAAAAAGCCAGGGACACAATGTCTTTTTTCCCCTCCTTCCAGCTTGTTCTCTGAAATAGCTGAAAAAGAACCCAAAAGGATCCAGCTGGAGGCAGACACACAGCGTGGAAAATTCCAGTCTGAACCACTGAAGTTTTAGTAACTGAAAAAGAGGGGCATATAATAGGGACAGTTAATCAGTTTTAATTATAGGTGGTGTTACTAGTTATGCCTATAATTGCATTACCCTGGTTACACACTCACAGTAACTCCAGTGAAAAGAATGTCCTCAACCACTCTGGGGGACACAGAAAGAACAGCATGGGGAGCCAAAGGTGATAGCAGCATTTTACAAAAACTCTTCTCTTTGCTGTCTTTCAAGAAGACCGCTCTGAGTAAATGTAAACCTTGGAGCGAGATGGTAGAGCCAGAAGTGCACCAGATAGGTACCACTGAGGGACTCATACAGGCACAATATAGTGAAAGCTGGGATGTAAAGAACAAACTGACAAAGCCTCTAGGCAATACCTTCTGTAGGACACTGGATCTCATGGATCCCCCTAAACTCGAGAGATCATAGAAGGTGCTGGATTAAGAGAGGGAACAACCCCTTGGTACATCGAGGCATTTCGACTTGCCTCTCCTCTCTCTAGAAAAGATCTCCACTGTTCTACCTGCCACCTGCACCTGTGGCCAAGATCTAAGTCACCCAGCTTCAGATGGCTCCAGGCCAGACACCCGCACCCAAATCAGTCAGCCTCAACACCCTTTGTAATTAGGGGCAGTGAAGCATTACTGGAGTGTGAGCCACCTAGTCTTCAGGAGACTCCTGCTTGAGACAGAGATGAACTGCCTCTCAGAAGTGCCCATTTCTTCCCTCTGCCTGTAAAGGAAGAGGAAGGTGGTCAGGACAGATGAATAACTACATCAGCTGCGAGGAATCCTGCCCTCCTTACTAACTCATTACTCCCAACACTTCTCAGACTTTTTAAACTATTTCTTCCCCTGACAGTAACTCAGCTGCGTGCTTCTGATGCTGCAGAGAGGGATAACTTGTAGCAGCTTCCTGCAGGCTTCACAGTTGCACGTGAATGGCAGGAAAGCAACTCACAGGTCAGTATTATCCCATTGCTGTTGTTGGACAAAGCTTTGAGTGAAAGTGAAAACAAGCAGTCTGAAAGCTTAAGAACGTTATTGCCTGCACTTGGAAAACTTCTACCTCGTCACACAACTAGAAGCTTCAAAAGGGGAAATAAAGAAAAGCTTAAATTTGGCAGAAACTGATGGTTTATGTTCTCACACTCGTTACACAGAAATCCCTCCTTCCCTGTGCTTTGCATTTAGGAGAGCTAACGGGTCAATGAGCAGAAAAGACAATAGAAGGGAACTGAGAGAATGGGTCCAGTCATCATTAAATTGCATGGAAATATTCCCACAAAATCCAATGAAAAGCAATTGCGGCGATATCATCAGAATCACCTCTCTGCATATGAACAAGAGCCATGCTTGCAGCTCTTCCAACCAGGAGAAAGTTCTTTGTCCACGATCTCAGAACACAGGAATCGGCTATTAACAGCTGACTCACCCAGCCCCTTTCCAGGTTACACAACCTCAGTGAAACCCTTAAAAAGGCAGCAGAGCGTTGTCACTGCATCCACTCATTTGAGACTGAAAGACAGCAAGCCTGTGCGCACACACGTGTGCGTCAAGTCTCCTTCAAAGTTCACAGCTGCATTACGAATTCAATGAATTGATCACTATGAGCTGAGGATATAAATCAGTTGAGTAAAAAAAAAAATCATTAACAAGCTTGCTGCACTGCTGCTCTGTTCCAGCACAGATGTCTCACACACCGCTAATCAGGGAACACTGCCTGCCAGAAGTCATCTTATTCAAGAACAGGCCATCCTCACTTCTACCCCAGGTAAGATACCTCAGATATAACCTATGCTAAGTTGGTCCTTAGCAAAGCCTGGCACAAATCGCTGCAATGATCCAGCTGGAGAAGCTGGGGTTTATATCCAGCGCAACTATGCGTTCCAAATTTCTGCCACAACGGCATTCTGTCAGCGTCTTTTAGGCATGCACTGTTATAAAGGAGATGCTATAGCAAGCACCTGTAGGAACTACAGCTAAGTGAACTCTTCTTCTCCTGGTTACATGATATTCCGTGTGCTAAAGCATGATCCAATGTCTCCAGCTTTCTCTTCCGGAGCACACACGAGCTTCCCATGAGTATCATAACATTTCTGCTGGTGTTCCAGTATACTTCATAAAATTTTTGAAGGTTAGCAGTCCCAGCCACTGGAGAGAGCGGAGGTCAGTGGCTGGCTGGCAGAACACGTGGACACTCAGAGTACTGACCTGGCCCTCTGACATTAACATCCAAAACGTCCACTTCTTGATCTGCTTGAGGTGGTGTAAGGGCTAGTGACGTGCTCCCACAGACGTCTGCTGCCTCCAAGTGCTGCTGTGTCCACTGGCGCTGATCTATCTGCTCATCACCTTCTGGGAGCAAGGCCTGATCCTCAGCCTGAGCACAGGAAATAAGCAGTTGCTTCAAAATGCTCATCAAGTGGCCAAAGACACTGAAAACTCAACATCAAGTGACCAAAGACACTGAAAGCTCTTGGGGTTTTTTGAATTTTCCTGGTGTTTTGTTTTGTGGGCTTTTTTTTGTTTTAAGCTAGCGATGGTCTCCATTTACCTTTGTTTGGCATTCTCAGCTTTCCCACTCCCACCATAGGTTATCAGGCCTGAACTGCAAGACATTACACTACTGTTAACCTTCTCTTCCCTTTGATGCAGCAGGGCCTGGGTAGGGAGGGATGCTGGAACAGAAGTCACCTGGTTTCTCTACTGGCCTGTGGTGGCAGTGTTAACCTGAGGATTTGCTCCTCAAATATCATTAGTTATATATTACAAATCCCTAAGCAAAGGGAGGTTTTGAGCAAGAGGCATACTCTGGAAGTTAATGCAGCTGGTTTCTTCACTAGCAGTTTCAGGTAATATTCAAGTCTTGGAGCTCCTTACCTTTGCTCTCTTTGGCTGAGGTCCACCATCACCTGCCCAGTGTTCAGTTGGCCCAGAATCTGCTAGGTTACCCTCTGGTATCTGGACTGACAGATTTCTAACAAACAAGGAGAACACATAACTTTGTAGGCTTAGCAAGTGCTACTACTGCTACTTACGCTAGCCTGCAGAGACCAAGGATGGGATGTTTGCAAGTTTGGTAGCTTGCAAACAGAGGGACCAAGAAACTAGAAAACTCAGGCAGCCAACAGTGGCATTAAATGCATTTACAATTGCAAACTTGGTTAATTCAGTGGAAAGCCAAAACCACATAAATGGGATTCTTTTTCTGAAAACTTTCCATTATTTCTGAATCATGTCTTTAATGCATTGAGCTAGATGTATTCAAAGTTCCTTGCACATATCAATCCAGAAACATCTCACCTACTCCTGGAAGAAATTATGCAAACAGTACCTAACTACTGAACTAAACAGAGTGTCAGAAAACCAAACACAACCAGGAGATCAAATTTCATAGATTTCATAGATTTCTAGGTTGGAAAAGACGTCAGAGATCATTGAGTCCAACCGTCCCTAATCCCCATCAAACCACATCCCTAAGTAGATCATCCACCCTATTCTTAAACACATCCAGGGATGGGGACTCAACCACCTCCCTGGGCAGCCTATTCCAGTAGCATTTTATAGATTACAGTTAACTAAAGTTTTTCTATCCAAAACAGATGTAATAAAAATTTAGAGAAACAGCCTAAGAAGTTCTGGTTTAAAAGGCAGCTTTCTCTATGGAGTTAAGCGCCTTTAATGAAAGATTTGTACACCATGTTCTCAAAAATCCTCTAACACACTAATAAACACACTGTCAGTGGCTTAAACGCAAACTTACTTGAGTCCAACAGCATCTTCTCCAACTGGCTCTCTGCGTTTATGATTACTAGGATCCCTGCGCAGAATAAAGCCCTCTGGGAGCCACAGTGAACCATGTTTGCGCTTACGCTTTGCCATCATCACACCCAAGAGAAGGATTAAGAGGATGATCAAAGCTGCCACAGCAAGTAGGTAAAGTAACTGGGTCTTCGGTGGTAACAAGGGTTCACCTAAAAGTTCCAGTTAAAATACAATGAGATTAACGAAGTGGAGACAAGGCTCTTCCATCTACATACTTTCTTTTCCCACTGTCTTCCCCACAGAGAGTGTATTTTCTCTATACTGTGATGCGTTTAGAGCAAAGGCTTGAGGAAATTTAGGCTCTGCTGCAACCGTTGTAAGAATACATCCTGTCTTTCTGGCTTCCCTTGATCTTGTTTCTCGAAATATTTTTTTACTGAAGATCTTGCTCCTTCCTCAAGAGTCCTGCTGGCTGAAGGCAGCCACCCTGAATCAGCGCAAAGAGCGCCGATCTACGTAAAGATATGAGCACGACCTAACTAGGAATAGTGATACTGCCAATCTAGTATGAGGTTGCAGCTGAGCCTCAGACTGAGGGAGAGGGGAGCAGAAATCAAGGGAATGACATATTGCCAGAGGAGAAAACATCTGATAGACTGAGTAATGTCCCCCACCCTTTCTCTCTATGGCACCTTTTTAATTGCATTCATGGGTTAGAGCACATGAATGGTTTTTAGTGCAGACAAGATCACCCCAGTGTGTGGCACACTGCTGCAGCACATGAGGGATTACTGCTTCTGTATGTATTAAAATGACTAGGCTCCAAACTTAAATACCCTGCCTTACTAATCAGGTGTCCCCTCAGAGCAGAGTAAGTGTATTGCCCATACATACTTCTATAACTAGGGACGAGTAAGTTAGCTCCCAGAAACCATACTGAACAGTGAGACCTATTAAGATGATGAGCAATAATCTGAGCATGCATTTTGCAAGCCCAAGTTCACTGACTGCCTTCCTTCACAAGCAATTTTCCCTCTGCTGTGACTTACTTTGGACAGATACGAAAGGATAGGGCAACATGCCCTTGATGGCCTGAGCAGCTAACAGGGCTGCAGCAGCTTCTGTGTTCTGAAAGCATTGCTCCGAATCCTCTGCACACTGACGGTTGTCAATCTCCAGGAACACCCTGGTGCTGCATAGACACAGTAAGAGGGCACAAAAGTCAGCAATAGAAACTTTTGCTAAAGCACTAGGTTAAACTGCAGACTTTTAAGTTAATCTTTCCAGCCCAGCACTGAATTTGGCAGTTGCAGTAGCTCTACACTTTCCCGTAAAAAACACAGGCTACAGCCCTAGAAGGTCCAGAACGACCCAGACACCTACAAGCAAGAGCTACCATAACAAGGCCAGAGGAACACAAAGGCATCCACTCACCCAATGACCTCTTGCTCTAGTTCTCTGCGCTTGCGAATGACCACAAGTGATCGTCGACTTCGTACTGCTGATTTCTCCCCATAGTATGGGAATACCATGGGGTTTCCCTGGGAGTCCAGCTTGATTCTGAGGTTGGTGTGCAGGATTGTTCCCAAAGTGCGCAAAAAGCTGCGAACATCACCCAGCAGCTGGTCGGGGGGCATCAAGACCACAATGATTAGGGTCCCTTCTGCCAGCTTCTCAGCTTTGTCACCAGCACAGTCCAGACCATCCCAGCCACACTCCTCGCTATTACAGCCCTGGTCACAGCGGCCATCAGCGTAGTGATCTGCACAATACTTGTCATACCTAGAACAGTGAAAGGGTTACAGGCAGCATATAGGACACAAGCATTCTGTACAGTATACCTGCAGTCTAGGGGCCAAGGTCTTACACTATTCATAATCATTTGAGGTGAAATAACACTCATTCAAGATATAAGGAGAAGAAATATAACTCCAGGATAAGCTTGCAAATCTGGCAGGGAAGCACAGAACAGCCCAAGAACATGTGCTTCGATTCTGGTACCAGTGGAAGAGAACTGCTTGTTCTGTTTACTAAGATAAAGCTATAACACTTCCTGCCTCACCAAGGAAGAATCATCGCAGCAAAGCTGTAGCATTTATCACAAATAACTGAAGAGAAAGAAGTGCCATGACAAGCTAGAAAACACATTCAGAGGTAGCAAATACAGCTGGGATAAAAATACAAGTAGTGCTGGTATGGAGTGAAATTCAAGATAAGAGGCAGTACTATTAAAATCTAGTACAAGGTGAAATGCCTCCTATTTACATTTTCACAGAAAGCAGGGCATATCCATCAAGCAGGTTAACACATTACCATTGCTCAGGCTATCAACTTAGTTCACAGCATACAAATTCCAGAACTTCTTTCCAAAAATAGTCAAAAAGTACATGAAGCAGCAGAAACCCCTTGATGCCAAGCTTTCAGCAAGGGCAAGGACCAGTAACAGAAACAACAAAAGAGATGGGAGCAGCAGGCATGAAGCGTACCATCTACTGAAAGCGCGAGCGGGAGACACGTTAGTGACACAGAGAAACCGTTCTCAGGATCAAGCCTTACTTGCACGTTTTGCTATTTTGCTGACATTCGAAGTTGTCAAACAGGCACTCGGGTGTGTTGCAGAACTCGTCACACTCTTCATTGAAGAGCATCCAGCAGCGCAATGAAGAGGAGCAGTTGGCCCAAGGATCTTCCATTGTCAGGGAGCAGTCGCCTCCATCCCACTGGCAGGCATGAGTGTTACAGTCTTCATCGCAATAGCCATCTTTTGCTTTTTCTGCACACTGGGAATCCAAACATCCTCGGGGCTCTGGGCTGAAAGTTACAGGCTGTTCACACTGGCTGCCTTGGGTGTGAACAGGGCACTGACAATAATAGTAAGGAGGCTGAGAATGAGGGTGGCAGCTTCCACCATTCTGGCAGGGGGCACTGGCACAACCAGTATTTGTCTGGCATTCCTCTCCCACAGACAGCTTGGGGCAATAGCACCGTGGACCAGAAGATGTCTGGATGCACTGCTCACCCTTCTTGCATTTCACATGCCCACAAGTACTGTGGCTGCTGAACTCACATTTTGCTCCAGAATAACCCTGTAGGTAAAAAAAAAAAAAAAAAAAAAAGGCAAAACGACCAGGCTCACAAAATTATTCTTCAATGCTCTGAGGGCTGAAGGCAAGGTGTCACACATGAAAACCCTTTCCCTCTCATAATTCCTCTAGCCTTATTGCAGGAGCTATGATTTTCTAGATTCAGCCTCAGGGATAAACCAGGAACTTATAAGGCTCCGTTAAATTTTGAAATGAACTATAGAAGAGTCATGAACAAGAGGAATCTCACAGTAAGCACAGGATAGCAAAAAAATTGTTGAAATTTAATGCTAGGTTTAAGACAGAAAAGCCTGCCTCAACAGCAGAATTGTTTGAGGTAACAACAGGCAACATCACTCTCCTAGTGCATCTGGAAGCCCTGGGTTTCCCAGCTGAGTAGATAAACCAAAGGATGTGGGTAAAGAGTGTTCAAGGACACAGCTTTGCAAGTAGTACAGAAAATATAACCTTCACCTGCAGTGGACCAGTGAAACTAAGGAGACTACAGCCACAGAACTGCATAGCTGAGGCAGGCAATTCAGTCCCAGGACACAATGCTTACCGGAGGACACTGGCAGATGAACCCATCTGGCATATTGCTGGCAACGGCACAGGTACCTCCATTCTGACAAGGCTTCCGGGGACACATGTCTATCACACTCTCACAGTGACGACCTGAGATGTAGACACACAGGAGGAAGAGAGCAGAGAAACGTGTGTGCACGCACATCAAAAAGACATCACAAAGCAAAACGCTCCACTGAACAGCCAACAAACCTAACGTTCCAGTAAGACCCTCCCCTCAGAACAGTAGGGCACACCTCTTCAGATAACACATGTTCTCTAAGTAGCTGCCTAAGTAGCAGTAGAGGAAGGCACAACCCTAGAATCCACGAGGGGTACTTGGAGACAGCCCACCGCGTCTGCTTCCTCAAGAATATGTGCGACCCAGCAAGAAGACAGAATACGCTGCTGTCACCCCCAAGTCATCCAGGCACAGAGGCTGAAGCTGCTGTACCACATCTATTTGGGAGTCCTAGGACTTCTTTACTTTTTGGGAGATGCTCAATCAGTTCAAAGGCAAATCACACTCTAACCATGAACGAACAACCCTCAGGACCAGATGCAACAAGAGTGAATAGGACAAGCAGGCAGACTCTCCTCAGACTGATTAGCTTGACAGAGACGTCTTACTGCACTGACTAGCATTTGCAGCAGCTCCCAGAGTCAAACTCTGACACCAGACTTTAAAAAGATGAGGATGACCTAAACATGACTTGGACCCCCTAGGAAAAAATTAATAGAAGTCTCCACACATGTGCAGCCAAGACCGACTGCTCGCAGACAGGAGCAGACAGGGCAGGATGGCCCACGGAGTCCTGGCATCCTATCAGTCACAAACCACAGCAAAGCAACCCTGTCCCCTCCCAGGCAGAAGGGTCAACGTGGAATGCACAGAAGACGAACAGCTAGAGGAAGAAGCATGCTTCCCCTCTGTGCCAAACGTTTCCAGACAGATTTCATGTCTGAGACATAGCAGCACCGCTCCTCCTGGGGTGCAGGTCTGCACTCCCCACGCTGCAAGTTCCAGCAACCCTTCCATGAGAGCCAGAAGCAGCATGAGGCATACTTCATAAAAGCAAGCTTAACAGACGGGCTTAAATATAAACCTATCTGTTGACCTGCACCAGTGTCCCACTAGCTAGCCTGGCTCCACTTCCCCTCATATGTCGCTCTTTTAGAAACTTCTTCTGTCAGTCTAAGTAATGCATTCAAAAACTACTGCATGAATTCTTCAGATGTATCTCCTTGTGTTTTCTTTGCATCTGACAATCACAAATTTAGTGGAAAATCACAGCATCTTTAAATTTTAAGAAAAAAAATAGAGTAAAAACTACTGGTAAAGCGTGCACAGAAGGTCACTGGTAAGCAGGGAAAGGGAAAGGTTTTAACGGAGGAAAACTGAATACATAAGAAGTCAAACTGACAAGGAAACTGAAAAGCTGAAAGCTAAGACACATCTGGAGACTATTAAGCCCAAACTTATACGCAGTGGGAGGCAGAAAGCAGAATAGCAGCAATACTAACACAGAAGAGATCTAGAGAGAGTGAGACAAGTTTGTGCGGTGTGAAATTCTTGCAAAGTTGTCATTCAAAGTTGGACTGTGGAAGGATCACATCACTAAGCTAGGAATGTACAGTCTGTCTACACATAAAGTATTTCCATCCTGACCACATCACCAATGTAAGGAAGAAACGGAGTGAGGAGTAGAAAAGGAGGCCAAAAGCTTATCATGGATACCATGACACCGATTTATAGCGAAAATTCATATGCTGCTTTGCAAAAGGAAAAGCCATGGAGAAGCTGACATGTGAACAGTTACACTTCCAATATTAGAAATGTGAAATGATGAAGGAGAGAAAAGTAACACAGAAAAAAAGTCCTGGCAGCCAAGTGTCTCAGGAGATTCCTTTGTCTGAGACAGCTCTGGAAGCCAAATTTCTTAGAAGGTTTAAGAGAAAGATTGGTTTAAAAACTGAGACATGGTGTGGGGCAACAATCAGATATTGTAAAGGGAAGTGACTAGATAACAGGACTGCCAGAAAGGGAAAGAATGACCGTTTTTCAAGATATTACTCTGAAATTGGAAGCATGTTTACGCATACTCACCAGTAAAAGCACTACGACAGATGCATGTATAATCATTTATCAGCTGAACACAGTCCAGACTTCCACGAGGGTTACAAGGATTAGAGAGGCATTCATTGATATCTCCCTCACATCGCTCGCCTGCAAAGCCTGGGAGGCAAACACAGCTGTAGCCCCCGATCTGGTCAATGCACTGCCCTCCATGAAAGCAGCGGGGTACTCCTGAGTCCGAAACACAGTCATCGACGTTCTCCTCACACAAACGGCCTGTCAAGGCAGTAAAAAGTAACAATTTGAGGATATGGTGTCATGGCCTCATTTCCTACATTGCTCATCAAGTTTTAAGACCATGTCTCACACAGTCCCAGATATAAACAGGTAAGGATCCCAACTTAATGCAGCCCACAGCCCCTGCAGACAGAGCGCCTTAGCTCAGACCTAGGGAGCATGTGTTTCAGATCCAGACTGTTCTCAATGGTAGGTCACACTGGTATTTAGCAGCTTTCAGGCTTGACTTAATTTAAGGGCATAATTAAAAACATGAAAATAAAACAGAACAAAAAAAGATGCACTCAATTTAGCCCTGCATCCGAACACAGCCTGAAAGCCCCGTGCTGCCCCTGCAAGGCTCGGAGCTTCCCACCATTCATTTAACTTGGCGGTAACCCCAAAACTTGGCCAAAAGCATTTGTAGCAACATCATTAAAACAAGCAACAACAAAACAACAGAAAAGCAACTGTGATAAAACACGGATTCCTTGGCCAGCACGCCATTCCTGCAGTTTGACTTCTGGGGACCTACAGTAAGCTCTCAACACTGGCTAGGCGTAGCAGCTTCTCCCTCTCCCTATGGGGTTCCCTTTAAAGAAACATTGTCTGGTACAGGTTCCGCCTTCACCACACAGTATAATGGATAAAAAGGGACAGAGAGTACGCTGAGCAGGGTTATTTGTCCGTTAATACCGTTGATTTATCTGGAGCAAGTAAAGCCATTCACCTAAACATGGAGGACGCTTACACTGGGATCAGTAATCAGGCCAGGGACAAAAGCTAAGTTTTGACATCGTAAGTAATTGTAAATTTCTAATTCCTTTCATTTACCAAAAAAATTTGTCACATCCAAAAAGTAATTAATCTCAATAAATACAGACTGAAGAATTAAAAGCAATACATTCGTAACCTCTCAAAGGAGGATGGGTGCTCTAGTACAACACAGAAACTCTGGGCAATGCAGAAATTGGTACATAAATACAGACTTTGATGTAGAGACATAAGAAGCAACTTCTTTTTTTTTAAATTGGAGGATCAAATTAACAACAATACACGAAGAATTGCTAACACAATGATTCACAATGAAATAAACACTTATCCAGACTTCAGAAGGAAAAAGTAAGTTCAGAGGAACGTAACATCTTTAACTGACTTAAGAATAAACTTTAAAAAAAGTCAAGTGAGAAAGCATTCACTGATGGGCTAAAGTGTGCAAAGCCTGAATATTTTCAAATGTAGAAGTCAGGGCCATCAGGTCAGATATAATCGGGAAACAGAGGGTTAGGTTTCAAGAAACATGACATTAAACAGGCTGTGGAATCGCACTTACTGAAAAACATCATTATGTAACTGTGGACTTTTCTTTTAACAAAAAGCTTTTATTAAAAGAGCTCAGATTTGCTGAAATAGTTTAAGATAGCCTAGAGGCACCAAACTTCTTTTCCACAAAAGACTCCAGGACAGAGGACAATGCAGAGCCAAAATTTAAACAAGTAAAGGACACTGCAAATCATGCAAGAGCTAAGCAAGTTTTCTCCGTATTTCATAGCTTCTTAGCCAAAAAGAAACCTTGGATTTACTGTATCAAATCAGAGAGGGTTAGGAGAGACCTTAATGGTAATCTAGTCCATCCCCATCGCCAAAGACGGATCATACATTCCCAAAGGACACTGTCATGACCTATTCCTTTAAAAGACAAAAAAAAAAAAAATAAGGGGAAAAAAATGTAGCATTTATTTTTAAAGAGAAAATATGTATCTCAAGGGATTCAGCGCACTTTGGGAACATTCTTCAAAGAAAACAACGCATTCCCTTTAGACTCTGTGTCATGAAACCAGTATTAGAAAGGAAAATTCACTCTTGTAACATTCACTTAATAGCTGAGTTTCATACCCCGAGTTCCTGGTGGACAGGAGCACTTGAAATGATCAACGAGGTCTATACATGTTCCTCCATTCTGGCAGGGCTGAAACTGGCATTCATCCACTTCATATTCACAGTTGACACCCTGGTATCCAGGCACACACTGCCAGTAAAAAATAAGTGTGAACAATCTTCTCCTAACAGATACATTAGCAGACATCTGAGAAAGGCTAACACAGACAAAACAAACCCTCAATGGGACAGACTATGACTGCCTTTGTAGCTAGACAACTGCCAGTGATTTCAAGGGCTGCACAGCCAGCCGGCTTAAGCACACAACTTGACCATGTGACTACTCAACAGCACACCGCCTGTTTGAATTTGCGTGACTTTATTCCTGCAAAATACAGCCATCAAATCCTGACACTCTTTAGCACTGAGATTGGCTTAATAGTTTTAACTTAAGGTTTCATAAAACTCATCCTTTCCTTTTGGGCATGAGCTTCCAAGGTGTTCTACCATTCAGAAAAGCTTAGGAAGGTTGATATACCATAATCTCATGGCCTACACTGCTCTCTGCCATCAGCTGTAGGAAACGGAAAGCAGTGGAAGGCAGCTCCCACCTGGAGAGGCAAAGGATACTTTGCCCATCCAATAGGAAGAATACAACATTCCTTTAACACATTCTACATCTATTTTAACGTAAACCACATCTCGAGCAAAAGATAAGAGCTCCGTATCCTAAGAGGCAAGGAGTTCAAAAGCTTATCAACCACATCTCCTTACGATTATGCCTCTAATTCAGTCTTAAAAGCCTCTCAGGAGCACTGCTTCTGCCACAGCTAAATTAAAAATTCTTTCCAGGTTCAGGTTGCTTTTTTCTCCTCTTTGAAGCTATTCTACCGCTTGCATGTGTTTCTGATTTCTTTTGATTCCTTTGCATTACAATGCTCTAAATATTTAGACCTCTTCCTACTAAACCACCATGCCTTACCTCGCACTGGTATCCACCCAGGTGATCCCGGCAGGTAGCACCGTTCTGGCAGGGGCTGGAGTCACACTCGTTCAGCTGCACCTCACAGTAGCTGCCAGTGTAACCCACCTGGCACTGACAGTAGTGCGTGTTTCCAACATTGAAGCAACGACCAGAGTGCTGGCACAACTGGTCCACTGCGAGCCCTGAAACAAAATTAAATAAAGTGAGCAAACACGTAAAACACTCTTGCCATCAGTGTTGGTAGCTCAGCCAGGAATGCGTACGGCTATACCCAACAAACTGAAAACTTGAAACTGAAAGACTGAAGAGTTACTCTCTAAATTATAGTGAGTCAGAGCCAAATCTGGCTTCTGAATAAAGTCTCTGCTCTGTTCCCTTTGGAACATCAGCATACTGACATATGTATAACACTGGCATAAATTATTTGTATTGCTGCATTATTTCAACACTGGCTGGTAAATGCAGGTCTCTAAAATGATACTGTTGCAACGCAAAGGTTCAACGTTCCTACCTAGAAAGTCTGCAAAAGGTATTGGAGCTTGACACCCTTCTCCTTCAACAGTGAACCTGTTTGCTTGGATTTCCTGGACTGAAAATGGCATGATGCTGTCCATTAGCCTGAGCTAACGTCAGGGAGAATCAGGAAAGCCTTGACTCCCAAATACAAACTTGCAGAGAGATTTTTTTTTTAAGCTTAGAAGTGACCACGATCAACCACCTAGAGACAAAGCTTTCTGGGATTTCCAACGCGTTTTGTGTTCACAGGCATATGGAGAAAGGAGGCGCAGATTAATGATGCAAGGGGAAATGTTTTCAGTTAAAGCACAGAGGATGCTTATTTACCCCTTTGTGAAGCTGCCACTTGACATGAGACGTTGGGCACATCGCAGTAAGCACCAGTCCAGCCAGATGGACAGACGCATTGAGTCTGGGCTCCACTCTGAACACACGTGCCTTTATTCTTACAGGGAGACTTGCTGCACAGATCCATAAGCGCCTGGAGGGAAAAAAAAAAACCCACAATGTGATAAGTGGCAAACACAACAGGAGGAAACACTACTCAGGGTACAAGTTCAAGAAGCAAAGAAAGGAAGCTCTGCGAAATTGGTTCCACGTGGCACTTGGAAAGAAGGGGACAGTACTTCCCAAGTCTAAGCCAGGTGTTTCACTAACAGTCTCAAGAAAATGTACAGGCAAGTAAACCCCAGATGGCAATATAATTTCAAAAGTAAGTTGATCCTCACACCTTGCTATGCAGAGGAATCTCAGACTGGCTGGGTTTGAGAAAATTCAGTTTTATCTCAGACTAGGCTTCTTGTTTCACATTAATAGGAGGCTTCCAGCTATCAAGAGTAACAGGAGCCGTTTCTTCTCCCAAACTCCCCCCATCTTCACTGGTTTTTGAGGATGACAGACATGTTCCACATTTTGATCTTTGTGTTTCCTGTTTGTCATTAGCTCACCATACCTGCATTTGGCCCCATTTGCTCTTGCACGGTCTCTAAGTTCTCCTGTGTTCTGAGATTCAATTGAAACCCCACAACTGTTTTATGCACTGAAGATGGGCCAAAGTATACTGCTTTTCTTGATTCCTTACATAAAAAAAAATAGTTTCCAAACAAAGAGACTAAAACTCAGTAAATCACCATATGAAAGAGGATTGAGGACCCAAAATAACTCTGTCTGACCTAATATAAACCAGTCACTAACCACCATTTCCTTTTTGAGCACTTAAGTCTTCAAAGTAATATAGCTATTTGATTGATTTCAAGCTGACTTGAGGGAAGGATGAGGTTTTTAAAGCAAGTAGTACTGAATTTTGGCTGTAAAATGCAATTTTAATTGCAGAAAGTTCTGCTTTTCAGATGCAAACTGTCTCCTCACAATTAAAGTAGAAAAATCTGTGCTTTCACAGGCAACCAAAAAGAAACTTGGAATTAAGTTTTATCACATGTAGTTGAGCGTGAAGAAGAAAAACATCAAGCCTCTTGCTTCTGCATTTGTAATGAGTAGTTGACTGTTTTACATGCAAATTCTATAACTTATGAATCATTGTCTGATTTTGTGCCGCTTATTTAGCTTTGCTAATTAGGTCAAGCCAGTTTACCACTAAAACAAGAACTACAGTGTAGCTGTAATCTGTAAATCTCTCCAGCACAGCTTTGAATAATACTCAAATTTAGAAAGTTCTGATTCCTCGCGTAAAATGAGTAATACATTATGATTAAGCTTCTCCGAACATAAAGCAGATTTTCTGAGAATTCACAACATTTAATTTGGGGACAGGAACATTAATCGTTTTCTGAAGTAAAAACAAAGCAAACATAACAGAAGAGGAACTACTGAACTTCACAGTACTTTATGATCCCTCTCAATGCTAATTCTCCCAATGAGGTTTAAGTGGTGTGCCCAGAATGCGTAATTAGGGTAGCAGAGGGGTTGCTTTTTTATATCACTTCGTTACTTTGCATTCACTTCCTCGATTAGCAATACCTAGAAGCAGACCTGACAATTTAATGTCTGGCAACATGGTTCTGGAAAAGCACCTCCCCCACTGCCTCTAAAACGCTTCTTCTAACACCCACTGCTTTACAAAGACACCCTGGCACGAAAGACAGTTGCAAAATTCTTACAGAATTGTAGTGTTTTCCAGTAGTTTAAGAAATTCACAGATTTTTTTTTTTTTTTAAATGGCAGCACTCAGACTAATCATGAGAGAAGCCAATATAGTGTTTACTGTTTCCAAGCTAGAAATAGTCTCGAATCATTCTTGCTGTTTTTATAAGCACAGAATAAAAATAAAAATAAAAAACTCTGACTTGAAAAATTAAATCGGCATTCTGTTTCCAGTACGATATGCCAAGTTTAAAGTTTTTAATAGGTACTAGTCAGTCATTTGCAGTATGGGTTTGCAGCTCCTATGCTCAATTGTGGAAAAATGTAAATTAACTGAACTTAATTCTGCAAGTAAGGCTAGAGCTTTGTATTGAGGTTGTGAACAAGACAATCATGTCAGTTACTGCTCCAAAACATTTTCTGGCAGTTTCTTATGAAAAAAATCTACAATCAACCCAGAATTTACTACAACTCCCTGTAAAAAATAAACCAGTTAAATCAAAGTCCTGCTAATCAGACTGATATTCTGCTTTTTGTTTTGTGGGTTTTTTTAATACAGGACTCTGCCTTCAAATCAGGACAATTTTATGCTTCAAATGAAATGCAGCCATTTTCAAAGATAACAGCTGTTTTTCATCTAAGAGGAAAACTAATCTACAAAGTTCCAATGACACCTGTCCTCATAAATAACCAAACATTTTTCTCCTCCTTGCAAACAGACACTTTGGATTTCCAGAGTTTTGAACGGGGCCACCTGCTCTGTCAGACAGAGGTGCTGGACTTACCTTTCCCAGAACTAATGGGCCAACCACCTCTTACCAGAACTGAAAGAACAAGCGTTCTTCCACGTTTGGTACCTCACATCTAAACCGGTCACTTCTGCTGTTGGACAGTTCAAACAACAGTGCCCTGTGCAAAATGGGCAAGAAAACGTCACCCACCTGACAGTTCTTCCCAGCATAGCCCAAAGGACATATACATCGGTACGTGCCCAGGCTGTCCACGCAAGAGCCTTTGTTCAAGCAAGGATGTGAATCGCACTCGTTGATTTCTGTGAGGCAGAAGGGTCCTGTAAACCCCACCGGACACTGGCAAGTAAAGGAATTGACCCCATCCACACAAGTACCTCCATTGAAACAAGAGCTGCAAGAGAGTGAGAAAAAGGGTAAGCTGAGACAAAATGCAACTAGCTCACAGCCAAAACAGCATGTAAACATTACTGATACGAGACAGAAGACCAGAGTACAGGATCTTCTGACCACTGGTAAGTTCCTTCTGAAGAAACATAAACCAGATAACAGCAATTCAAGGGGACTCCAGCTCACGGTCTTTTACCTTGGCAGAAGAAGAAAGAAAAGCAGAGTTTCAATGAGTCATTAGTGATGGAGGTAACTTATTTAATGAAATCTTCCCAGCTTCTATGTGACCACAAACAGTACTGTACCAGGTAGGCGTGTGGTTTGCTCAAACTGATAAGTTTTATACAAATTTTATTACAAATTACAATTGTATTACAAATTATGAGAAACAAAACAATTTGCCTTTTTTTTAAAGCTTCAAAGGAGTCACAAGTATGTGTTCTCAAGGAAAAAGTTCATAACATGCAAAACACAAGCATGTTCTTCATTGAAATTATGTGAAAGTATTGGTATTGCTAAATCCCTTCCTCCTCTTCTCATGAGAACCTTAAGTCCTTGATTTATAAAACTACTCATACATGCCCTGGCAGAATTCAGATCAGAGGGATTACTGCCCCCTCCAATCTCCTGATCATAAGAAATTCTGTCAGAATAGGTGTGCTATGAAGAAATGACTGGGAAAGTTGGGAGAAGTGATGCCTCATGCAAAATTGACTCCTTTTTCCCCCCTCTAAAGAAACGCCTGCCAGGAAACTCCTGCTCCTCTGAAAATAACCCCAGATCAGACTCAAGGTAATCAGTTTGATAAGGTACACAAAACTAATTCATGCCTGTTATCTGTCCTGTGCACTGTCAAAGGGTACTTCCATGACAGAAGCAACCAACTGACCTCTTTGAACTTCCAATGCAAGTTTTAAGTATTCGAATTGTGACTGCGACTACGGTAGAGATGTCAACATTAACCTACTTATCAGAGATATTCCTCTGCCTTGTGGGCTGAATTCTGTTCTACAAGGAGCAAGAACTGCTGTTTACATTCACAGAAAAAACAAGGAGCAGAAGACGGAGGAATCATCAGTTGCTTGGCGTGTTTCACTGAAATCAGGTACTCATCTCCAAAAGAAGATGGCACTCTCTCATAGGCGGCTTCTCACACGAGACACGGAAGAATTATTTGAACCAAATTCAAATTAGCCAACCATCACGGCGCTCGTAAGTACAGCTCTGTAAATTTTGGTTGAGAAGATGTGACTGGTTTAGCTTGGCAGAGCGTTGAAAATTGCTACATCCTTCATTCATACCTGCAAGACTGGTTTCTGTCCTGACTGATAACGAAAACAAAAACAGGATGAACCTCAAGGAAGAACCAGGCATTCTGCTAAAACTCCCAACGTATTTCACTTGATTAAACAACTGTTGTGCAAATTAAACACACCCTCATCAGTGACACAATCCTGTTCTTAAGCAAAAGATATTAAAATACTTCCTCCCCCACAAATGCAATTTTATAAAAGATAAGAAAGATCTCTTCTTTGAGTGCAGAAAACACATGAGAATAGCAAGAGTTTTGCATTTAGGCACCTTATTTGCTTCTGGTAACTAGAGTAGACCAGACTATTTTAATATTTTTTTTTTTAATCGTTTCAAGCTTGATTAGAAACTGTTTCCATTTGAGAATCTAAAGCTACTTACATTAATCCTAACAAAGCTTAAAATAAATATGCAGGCAGATAATGGATACACAGAGTTAACTCTCAAAGAACTTTTAAAACTACTAAGTGAACCATTTATATAAGGACCAGCTGTTGAGCATTTTCACTCAGTTCTACACCTCCCCCCTTAGAACGACCTCAGGTTTTATCTCAACACTGCTAACGGACATCTAATTTGTGAGTATTAAAAGATCTCTGATTACTAGATCTTTCCAGTACAGAATCTGTGGATTTAGTGTTCCTCCTGGTTGCTTCTTCATATTATTTGCACTCAATAACTCAACTGAGGGCTAATTTAATTTTCCTGCCTTTCTGAGAGTTGGCCATCGCTTCCATTTTTGCAGCTTTTGTAATTCTCAACACAGTAACTGTACATAACCAACAAATTAGTTCCCCTCCCTATATGATAATGGTCTTATAAAAATAGAAATTATTTTTTTTTAATAAGCTAGTATCTGTTACTGTCTTAATATTTGTTAAACACTGTCATATTCGTCCTGTAATGAAACTAAGCTTCTAACTAGTCATGCAAACTGAAGATCAACTGTGACAGGCAACTGTCTTTCAGCTGGTATCCTGCACAAGGTACGCAAGTTTTCCTGGCATGAATCACAAGTATGTCTCAGTGAAAAAAGGCAGGGAAACAGATCCCTGTGTGGCCTCTTAGTGCAGCAGCACAGTGAAGTTTATCTTACCTCTCAGTGCATTCATCGATGTTGTTCTCGCAGTTGGTTCCCTCAAACCCAGGCTGACACTTGCACGTGTAGCTGTTGACATAGTGTGTGCACGTGCCTCCATTCCTGCACGGTTCACTCAGACACTCGTTGGTATCTGTTTGACACTTATCTCCATGAAAACCAGGTAGGCAGATGCACGAGAAAGAGTTTATCCCATCCACACATGAAGCTCCATTTTGGCAGGGATCTAAGATAGAAGCATTATAGTAAGTGTTAAAATGGGTAACAGTCAAAGGCCAGACCTGGAGTAGTAGCTTTTTGGGAAAAGAAGCACCACACAGTCCAGAGCATGACAGACTACTGACAAGTTTTTCTGAGCTGCTTTATGGAAGAAATAATTACAAAGCATTATCAATAACAAATTCACAAGAAGGTGTGGATGAAAACCAAGCATCACGGCATAAAGGTTTCTCTGCTGGGATTTCTTCAGCCAAACCCAACAAAATCAGACCCAAAGTCTCTTGGTTTAAAATTCAAACTCTGCTTTTTTGATAAATACCTACTGAGAAAGACAATACAAACAGCACTGCAACAGTTTCTCCTTCCTTATCAAGTCTTATTCATGAGAACTTGGATCGTTCTCTCTTTTCCAGACACTGCTCCAGACACAAAAGAACTTGCATGCTTAATTTTAAGCACGAAAGCAGTCCAGTCAAATCAAATCTGTACGTATAAATTAGTACATATATGAGCACTTATGTGTTACTGAGCACTTAGCGTTTTTCCCAATATCAAAGGCTGACTGGGGAAAGGCTGGCAGAAAAGCTCACAAATTCATACACAACCTTGGATCCTCCTCATCTCTACATTTCTTGACTTTTTTTTATCTCTACAATGACCTTTTTACTTATGTATCACCATTTTTTGGCCTAAGCCACCCTCTACTACTGTATTCTCTCTACTTCCACAAGTACCCATCTGCCTGAAAGAGCTCTGTAGTTTCTTCTTGCTTTGCTCCTTCCACTTTTGGATTTAAGACTCACATTCCTCTGTCAGATACTGCCTCTGAAGCCAGTTTCCTTTTTTACTCTGCATTCCTTAGACCACAAGCCTATGTATATGAAGGCAGGGAGGAAAACTGGGAGGGGGGAGGAAAAGGGGAAACAGGAAAGGGGATGAAAAAAAGGTTATGGAGCATGTTATTTTTGATCTGTGACTAAGTACTACTAAAATACAAACTTTAAAATGCAAATAGACTGCACCAAAAATTTGCAGTTCAACAAAAGTACAAGATCATTCTATTCACTGGTAAACGAAGAAAACAGATGTGAAAGGTAATTAAAGCTCATTTATTGACTGAGAAATGTGCTCAAATGATTAAAAAAATTTAAGAGACACACCTGCATCCATTTAAAGGTCATCTAACTACTGCAGAGAAAAAACACATTCAAGTGAGACCCCTGGCAGCTATAAAATGTTGTGTCTATGGCAGCCAGCCATTTATGACTGAAGCCAAAAGCTGTGCACTAATTTTCTGTGCTGCACATTTACTGACAGAAAAAGGAGACTCAAGTATCAACTTTTCAAAAAGTTCTTGTTGTTGGAGGGTTAGTTTGTTTCATAGATTAAAGACGTTTGGCTCAAGCTTTGGAAGGTTTTTGTTATGCTAAATGAAATCAGCTGTAGCAGTAATTGAAATTCTTCAGCCTCATGGGTGTGCTGCCTAACAGACAACACAAGATGAATCTCACAGCTCTCAGAACACTTAGGAATAGAGAGAGATTTCCCAGCCGTTCAAGAGAGAAAGATGAACACTCGAAAAATGTTTTTCTCTCCAGACACTCATGTAGAAACTAACAGGTTTCTTACCAATAGTAAGCAAAGCTCTGGGTCAATGCACTAACATGACATTTTTTGTGCTGTACCTGTTTGTTCAGAAAGAGGCAAACAAAAGCTCAGGCTGAGCCAGATGCCTTAGAAGTTCTTTCCCAGTGCTGCTTCGGGGTCTCCCAAAGTAACTTTTGCTAATAGACTTGTTTGGATCCTTCTGTACAGCAGTCACAAATTTAGGGTTTTTTCAATGCAAAACACAACTCATTAAGTTCATACCTGAAGTCTTTTAAGACTTTGGTTTGTTTTTAAACGATTCCAGTTAAAAAAAAATAGATTTGTTTTTTTGTTTGTTTGTTTTTTCTGTTGGTGTTGGTTTTGTTTTTTTTAAAGAGCCAGCCAATTACAAAATACAACATTGTGAACTCCTCCAAGGTTTGACAAAGCACTTTTCAAATAGTAACAGATGAACTTTTAAACATGACAACTTCTCAGGAGACACTGATTCTATCTGATGATGACACAGAATATGCTCAGCAAGAAAAATAAGTTACTATGTATTTGGTTTCCCTTGTAAACAGCAGTGTAAAGGGCATGAAATTAACATGTGCTTTCTTGTAATTTAAACAAGTTCAGTACTCATCAGTGTATGGGCTATCCTGCAACTGATATCTACTCCAGAACAGAGTGCCTTCCTGCTGCTTAATTTGCTCTCAAATATGTATTAACTGGAACAGCAACAGGCTCCGCTTTTTCCAGAACATTAATGTCAGACAGAGATATTTCAGGACAGACTGCTATACCCCAGATTCCCACCACATCTCAGTCAAGCTTAATGTTGAAATACAGGTAAGCCCTGCACTGTTACTTTAACTTGGTGTATTAAAATTTCAGGCAAATATAATTCCTCATTTAACAGTGCTCCTTATTAAAGTATGTAAACGCTAAGGATTTTTTCAAGTTAAGAATCTGGGAACAACTCCTGCTATCAGTTAGAACACTGTAGTCCATTTCTAGCAGCTGAATGTGATGGATTTTGACTGCCTCAAACACGCAAGTCTTACAAAGCTGAGGTTTGGGTTTTTTTTTTCTTTTTTGTAAGAGATTATAAAAGAACTTTCATTATCTGTCAAATAGCAGTCCTCAATAGCACAGCAAAACTATTTCTAGGAAAAACTGGAAAACAGAACAATCTGCTGATACTCACTTGAAAGGCAGTCATCAATGTTACTGTCACAGTCTCCTCCAGTGAAGCCTGGTCGACATTCACACAGGTAACTGCCTTGAATATTATGGCACAGAGCATGATTTTTGCAGGGCTTCGAGAGACATTCATCAATGTCCACTGTACATCTCTCCCCTGAAACACAGGGAGTCCAGAAGTAAGACCCTTCGTATGGCAACGGTCAAAAGGCTCAATGCCAATACTGTTTAGCATTGGAAGTACAGTATGTTCCCCATTCACATTACCTTCCCAGCCAGGAGCACACTGGCAGGTGTAGCCTTCAGAGTCAGGAGATTCTTGGCAAATTCCCGAGTTCTCACAAGGATCAGGGGAACAAGGAGCCACCACTACCTGGCAGTTCACACCTGGAAAGCAGAAGGGGAAAAAACAGAAGGGTATGCTGTTGAGAGCTTGGTGCTTCTTGGAAGAATGAATAAAGAGACTGTAACTTGCATGATTATCCCACATAGCATTTCCATATTTGAAAAATCTCAGCAGAAGGAAAAGGAGATCAGAACACTTCTCATGAGCTCAGTGGGTACAAGCAGACAGCAGCCATGGTAATTCCGAGTTTAAGACCCCTTTAATTCCCAGTGTATTTACACATCTCAGTCTAACTTTCTTACAAAAAAAAATAAGCTGAGCTGACACCAGGACATTTCTTAATGAGTCCAAATGAGGCTTAGATATGGTCTTACTAAGTATTCTACTACTGTATCACGTATACATGAACTGACTGTAATTTAACTTAATACAACCATGGTGTTTCCCCTATTTCCATGAGGTTTAATGAAAATATTAAAATAGCACTAAGGGTACAATGAAGTGGAAAGGAAAAAGAGAACAGAAACTTGTCTCTGAATTTTCACCTTTGAATCCTTTCCTGCAGGTACATCTATAACCATTCAACAGATCCTCACAAGTTCCTCCATTCTGGCATGGGTTTGATTTACATTCGTTCCCTTCTGTGGAACAGTAATCTCCTATCCAGCCTGGGTCACAGACACACTTGTACCTTTAAAGGCAAAAACAGCAGTCATTTTAGAGCATTCTGAAATAAATCCTCTACCAGTTTATCCTGCATATTAATTTTGGAGAGAAAACGAAGACCTCTCTTTAGGAAAGTCCTAAGGTACATTTAGATTGCTTACCCCAGCTGAATAGTTTTGAAATTACTGAAAATAAACTCTCCCTTAAAACCACACTTCCCTCCATTACAGTTTTCACAAAGCGCTCGGTCAACTGGCAACACGTTTCTGCTTTGATAAGACCATCTCAATACATTTAAACAAAGACAGAAAAAAGGATTAAAAAAAGTGGAGATGAACAATAGGTTCCAAAGATAACTAGACTGTTTTAATACAAAGTAGTGGTTACAAATGAAAACAGCTGGCTGGGAGCAGGAGCAGTCTTCTCCATCATGTGTCAAAACCTGATGCAGAGCAGCACTCCACCCGTATGACGTAGAACCAAGGACTTGGTGAATCACCCTGGGCTCAGGCCACACAACACACACACTGGCGTCCCTTCTCATCATGCAAACGAGACTAAGTAAAGACTTACTTTATCTGATATCGTGTGTAAGGTGTACATAGGCATAAATAGTAATGCAGGTGATCGATGACAGACAAGATGAATCAAAACGTTTTTCAAGCTTACAAGGAGGCTTAATTAGCAATAAAGGCAACCTTCTTGCCAGCTCCAGGGAAACTGCTGAATCCTGCCCTACAGAGCTACCCACAGTGGTAAATCACTTCCTTGCCCAAGTGCTGACAACACTTTACAGGACGCAGAACACATCTGGGAAGCACTGCTATTCCACATGCAGTTGGGAAATTTCACAAACACAAGTCCTACCTCCCCAAACCTGTTGACTCAATATGTCCTGTGCTGCCAGACTCATCCTTACCAAAAAGAGGTCTGATTCAGGGCTCCTGAAATCAGCATTTCAGCTTCCTGGATGGGGAGATTCAGAAGCAACTACTGCCATCAAAATAGCCAGAGAGAGCTTGCCCTTTTGTCTCTCAGGCATGTAACGATGTGATTAAAGCTGATGAAATCTCAGCCTTGGATAAACTGTTCTAAGCCAAATACCACTCTATCTCCTGCTGTCAAAAGTTGTCTGCCTGTTCCTCAATACAGAGTATTTGCGTAGCTAGAACAGCACTAGCCAACAAAGACAGTTAGTTTAGAGTTTGATGGACTAGGTAGCTGCTGCTCCCCAAAGATTCTATTTGGAGCCATTTCTTTATTTTGTTTGCATTCATTCTACCCACTTGGATCGCCAAATCTTCCCTTTAGATGGTGGCAGTCCACCCTGAGCTACATGCCCATGCAAAGACAGCAAAGAACACAACGTGGCACAGAAAAACCTGTGTTGAAATAGCATAGACTCTGTTGGTGACTAAAGGTCTACACCTTACAGTGATTATGTCATAGACAGCAGATTGAGTCTGGATCCTAATCTGAGAAATCAGAGAAAAATCAGAAACCTCAAGTCAAGATGGGATTTTGGGCAAAGCTAAAAAAAAAAATATATAGAAGGCAGTAGATAAGTTTAATGTGACAATAAGTACTCACCCACTAGTGATGTGTGTGCAGTTGCCATGTACGCAGGGATTACTAAGACAGCCATCTGCCTGTGACTGACAGTGAGGATGATGGTAACCTTCAGGACACACACACCGAAAGCCGTTGACTTCATTTATACATGTTCCACCATTATGACAGGGGCTGGATGTGCATTCATCAATGTCCACATTACAACGCGGGCCTAGAAGAAAAAAACAATACATATTATTTCTTACAAGAACATTTGCTTTGCATGTCTGTGAGAGCACACATCGAGACACAACTCAGTAAAGCCAATGCAGTGGGACAGATCTTGCATGCCTCCGTGCTTTAACTGAAGCCAAAAGAAGCACTTTTAAAAGATGCAGCACTTTTCTGTGCCTGGAAAACAGCACTTACGCTCAATGAGTGTTTACAAACCATTCAAGAATCTCAACAGAATTCCACTAAAAATCACCGGTTAATATTCATTAGGAAGACAAAAATCATTCAACTGTATCATGCTTGGAACAAACCTCTTGAGCTCCACTTGTCACAGCCCTGCTCTTCTGCTTTGAAAGTACCTACCCTTTGAACAACCAATACTGCCATACTGTCTGCAGTAAATACAGTTCTTGTGGTTTATTGCGCAAAAGGGACTCTAAAAAACACCGTTTCCTGTTTTGCCTGCCTCTGAGTATGACTGCAAGATCCTCGAAGTAGTGACCATAAGATCTTGTGAGGCTGGAAAGCTAAACAAAGTGAATGTTGCAGTAAGTTGAAAGCATTTTTAACATAAAGAAAGGACAAAGTAATGAGACTCCATGCAAGCCAGCTCTTTAAATACTGGAATATGTCAATTCATCATATTACTGTATTCTTTTAATAGCATAAGAGTAAGAGGATAACAAATACGGTATGCCAGCAACACAGAAGACTGAAAGGCAAGAATGATCACGATCATGCCTCTTCCTGTTCTGGGGACTAAAGAGTACCACCATGTCACAGCCAAAGGAAGGAAACACGTCAGAAGTTTAGAAAGACACCAAGAGAAAAGCACAAGACACATGAAACCTCTTAGTGCTATTTCTAATGCATTTCAGATCAATTCTAATTAGAATCATTCAGTAATAAACAGTAACAAACGTGACGAGAAAACAGTTACAAGCAGCATCAACTCCCTTACAATTATTTTATGAGCATATTACCCTACATGGCTCAAAACATATTAAGTCCATTATGAACAGTGTTGAGATGTGCTTTAGTCATCAGAAATAGTCCTGATGTAGATCTACAGTTCTAAGTATGGATCTAAAAGTGTTTAAAAGCTTCTTTTCTCAGCCCTACCTTTATTGTACTAGATAAGTCTTTATAATTTAAAAAGCAAAAAGAACAGACTACACTATGAAAGAGAAGTCCTGAAAAAAAGCAGATTATTCAGTTGGAGACTTCACAGTGGAGAGTTGCTCATTAGAACACTCAGTAAATGCTTTGCTTTCACAGAAAGAGAAATACTGTTCATGGGCAAAGCCCAAGGTACTGTCTAATCAAACACCTCTCTATGTTGTCCACAATAGCTCTGTCCCTGGAAAGAAGCTGTAAATAATAAACCTAAGTCACATGAGTTTATTTGTTATAAAACCAAGAACCATGAATTGGATATAATTACCTAACAAGAATGGCATTTCGCAGCACAGATTAGGCCATTTTTCTGCTTGGCAGAACTTGCTGTAATGTAAGATGCTGAAATTCAAAGATTAGAAGGATTTATCGAGATACTAACTGAATTTCGTGCAGTCAGTATGCAAAGAACAGCTTCCTTCCCTACCTGGATAACTATCTTCAAAACAACTCAAAGCTATCAGGTGGCTGACTTTACCTGTAAATCCAGGTTTGCAAGCACAATTGTAGCGATTAATGCCATCAATACAGTCCCCGTGAATGCATGGGTTACTTGCACAGTCATCAAAGTTATTTTCACAGTTCACACCTGAAAAAAAGTTAGGAGGAATAAGGTGTCTAAATCTTACAAGGAAGACAACAAAACTATTTCCCAGAAATACCCAAATTAAGAATCCCACCTGCTTCAAAGTTACACGTGCATTGGTGCAACATAAACAGGCGATGACGCAGAAGCACTGCGACACCAAGAAATGTCACCTGGGTGCCAAGTAAGATTCTGAACTCATGCTTTAATGTTTAAACAAAAGAATCAAACTATTTTGAACACCATGCCCATTTTTTTTCTGCGTTCTTGAACTTTGAGAGTAAAGAAGAGGTAAATTCTCCCAAGACCAGTTGCGGTACCAGTGAAGGTTAGGCAATCCACACGAACACAGCAAAATTCAGCAAGGAAAAGTAACGTGAAAACGATACTCTCATATCATAAGCTTATCTCTGTATGCAAATTTAGCACACATTAGACCACACATAAGAAATAATTAAATGGTTGAATTTTGTCGGAATCCAATCCTTCCACCTGTGCTTTACGTACCCGAAGTGCCCAGCAAACAGTTGCACTGGTAGCCATTCACCAAATCAATGCAGCGCCCTTGATGGAGGCAAGGATTGCTGTGGCATTCATCTATCTGCTCACTGCATATGGCACCCATGTAGCCAGGATTGCATATACATGTGTATGAATCAATTCCATCTTGACATTCCCCATGGTGGCAAGGATCAGGATCACAGTTGTTGATATTCTCTTCACACAGAAGGCCAGTAAAACCTAAGGAAAAATAACGAACAGGAGTAATTAAGAAGTTAGCTGGTATGATGCTGTAGTGAATATAATGCAAACGTAGAAAGAGTCGTATTAAGAACCAGCAAAGTGGCAGATAGCACAAAGGGTAACTGGGCATCTCAACGGCTGTCCATTTTCCACTCCTGGAAAACAACGCTCTTTTGCTGCTCACAGCATTACAGAATAACATCTTGCATGGAGAATCCTGGCATTGGAAGTGGTTACCTTCAGTTTATTCAGAACAGTAGCAACCAGAGGAAATATGTAAATCTCCATGAGAAATTAATCGCATCAGTATAAACTATCTGAAGGCGTTCTCCTGTCATTATTTCCTCTACAGAATACCAGGGGGGTTTACTTTTTTAGTACAAGAAATCACTGCAAAGATGCTGCAGAAACCTTCCCAAGGGTACTTCCCTGGCTCGTGTCAAAGCTTCTGCAACTCTGCTTATTAAAAAGTTTCTTGTCCCTCTCATTAGGAAACCACTCAGTAACTCAAATCAAACTCCAACTGCAAATTAATGAAAGACTGCATGCAACCTCTTCAGTTAGGAGCAATGAAACAAGCAGCAACTTGGCCTGTTTCATTCTGCTTCAGCTGGGAAAAATCCTGAGCAACAGAGAAGGACAGAATCTGTTCACCAGAACAGCTAAAACAACAGATCAGGAAGCTGAGAGCAGCAAACAACTCCTTCAGGAGCCCTCTTTTCCATGATGGAGCAGAGCTATAAGAAGCAGGAACAATTTAAAATAAATGGTTTTCAGAGATGAGGTTTTGGAGCAACAGCTCATGCTGCCTTCCAGCAGCTGAAGATTAAGAAGGTAGAACTTCAAATTTCAGACACCACCTGGAGACTGATACAAACCAAGCTGCAGGGAATTTCAACAGCTGAAGAGCGATTCTCACCTGAGTATTATAAGTGGATAACAGGCTCCCCATTTTTCATACAGGTTTGTGGTTATTTCTCTGGTCAAACATACCAGGTGACGGTTAACATTTCCAAGTTCTGCGAACGTATGCATGGATGAATGGGTGTGGAAGTAGGTGGGGAGAGGGAAGGGAAGCTAGTTAGAGAGATGGATATAAAAAGATGTTAGGTAAGGAAGAAAAACAAACCGAAAAGAGGACGAAGAGAGGCAAAAAACCAAAAGAGAACAGAGGCAAAGAAAAGAAGAAAGACCTAAGACAACTCAAGAAAAGAAAAGCCATGAACTACCACTGGGAAGGAGAAGTGGAATAATGCCAGAAGGGAAAGAAAAGACAAAAAGCAAGCAGTAAATAGAGCTATCTGTACAGCATTTGGCCAAACATTTTGCAGTTTTCAAACACTTCGGCAGCTGGCGATTACCATTCAGGGAACATGTATCACTCATAATGAGATTAATACAGCAAGAACATACTGAAATATTGTTTTCCAGTAACTGACCTGCCCCAATGATGAATTCCACATTTCAGTCTTATAGAAGGCTGTCAATATTAAATATAATACTTAGCATACATTTGTTCAAAAAATTACCTTATCTCCTATTGTAGCTCAACTGAACCACTTAAAGATAATATATATTTCTCAATCTCTTAACTGAACATACCTTATTACTGAGATATGATTTCGCTCTTTGCAGACAAGAGTTAGACTAGAAAAAACCCACTTGAATATAGAACGTAAGAATCCCTCAGACAGGATGGAAAAAAGCCCTAGTACAGAGTCCCTCCTCCATTTTCAGCCAAAGTACTAAGCAAGGATTTTACTAAAAGCTGCTGCTTCAGTAACATACATTTGGTCGCTTTCAGCCTGTTCCTTGAAAACGCTCCATACATCATGTGCCTTCATGGAAGCAGTAGCCTTTCCTCCTCATCTGGGAAACCTAAGATTTCTATACTGAGGTGCTTCCAGCAGTTTAGTGTCCAAATTCAGAACATGCTTTTCAAGGCACAGCTCTCCATTGTCCTCCACTAGATGACCCAAAACCCTCCTGGGCCCAATAACTTCTGCACTGTTGGTGACTGAAAGCAAGCACACCACACACCAGCTTGAGAAAGACAGTTTCTAAGATAGTTTCCAGGTTTGGAGAAGATTTGAGCTTTTTCTTCTTTTTGCAAGCGTCAGCTTATTCTGTCACATGCAGTAATCAAAAGGAGAATTCTGATAACAATAATTATTCCTCTCCTGATTAGAACGACTGCATTCCTCTACTTCCAACAAATTCCTTGTTTCTTCAGGCCCTTTGGGGAAGGGTGAGAGGGTGTGTGTGAAAAGACCAGGGAAGAATTTTAGGCTAATCTATATTCTGTACAGTGCAGAATGAATTAGTGAGGTCTAATTTGCCGTAATAATTTGATTATTGGAATGATTCAGAATGAGAAAAATTGCACATAAGTCTAGCCAAGCTAACGGCACATTTCTGGGACAAAGGTAGCTCCAGGAATTGTTCAGCCTCTTCCCTAACAAAAGAGCTAAAGCCAATCCATTCCACATCTGAATCTGTATCACAAGTAAAGCATCAGGCACCATTAACTGAAAGCAACCAAAAGTTAGTCCTTACTGAGAATTAGATCGTTACAGCTCTGATCTGCCCATACCCTCTTTTTTGACCAGATGTAAAAACTAAGATAAAATATATCTACATCACTTCTAGAAATCTGAAGATAAGCAAATCCCATAATTCAAAATGATGCTTCTAAATATTTATTTAACCAAAAAAAACCCATCTCAGTTTCACCCACAGCTCTGTCAAAATTTCTGTATAATGCTTGACAAATAATTTTAACTACATTCTGGCAGGCAGCTACTGTGTGGCATTTATTCCAGTGGACACAATTTTCACTTCATTTCAATCTTCCACTTTTGACACATAATAGCCTGACACAACAGGAATTGGAATACACAGTAGTACTGCTCTGTTCATCTCTTGTTCTTCAACTGTATACTGTATAATCAGACTTGCAAGACAGAAAGGTAAGCCACAGATAAAAGGCTTCACACTGCTGTTTTTCCACTCGTGGATTCCATAGTCAATACAGAAGCAGCCGTCACCTTCTGGGAAGCACGAGGTGGGGCTGAAAGAGGGAGGCCAGAACTCACATCAATTGTGAACTTACTGCTGTCACAAGTGAAAAGCTTTCTCTTCTTATATACTATTCTGTGCTGCAAAGGAGTAGACAAAGTTTCGCAAGTAGACAAGCAGTATTTCAGAGAAAGAAAGGACGAACGAACACTGACACTTCTTTGACCACCCCTCTATGTATTCGGGTTACATGGGATCTCCAGGCCAGGGGCTCTGAACACAAGACTAACCTGTGGCACACTGGCACTCATAGCCATTGGGATGGTCGATACATTTGGCTCCATTAAGGCATGGCGTGCTGGAGCAGTCATCTATATCAATCTGACACACAGCACCACTGAATCCTGAAAGGCAGAAAAAAAGATGAAAATCCAGAAGTAATTTGAAGTAGTTAATCTAAACAGCTGCACTGCCAGGAATCCTTAAAACCAGCAAATCCTTAAAATCACCCAAATACAAGCTCAGTAAATCTAAACTCAATTGCATCATCAAGCACACACACCACACCTTGAGTGGATTGGTTCCTTGTTTAAACCACCAGCCAAAACACAGTTTCCATCCTCCAGGTCAAAGGAGCCTCAGCTTGAAAACTGAGATGGTCAAATCAAACAGAAATAAGAAATAAAGCAGTTGGAACACAAGCGGTGTTCACCACTGGACAGTATGCTCGTCTACAAAATTGAGAGGCCACCACTAAAAACTTTCAAGTAATCAAAGCAAGTAACTTGAAACGAAACAATAACGCATAAATCACTAGAGCCTTCAGACTAGGATTACCACAGCAGTGTGGAATGCGGTACAATACTTTCAATGCACTTCTTGAAATAGTTAATGAACTACCAACACGTTATGCTAGATGATGCAGACCCTTAGGCACTTCAAGAAAAAATTAAAAACTCCAGGAATGTTTCCTGGAGAAAGGAACCAAAGGAGGAGCCAGGACATCATTAGTCAATAAGAAGGGATGCAGAGCAGGCTTTTGTCAAGTATATTCTGAACTCAAACTTTTTGAAAGCCATATGGAAAACCAGTGATGTTTACCCTATAGCTAAAATTGATCCCTCAGCTCAGCACTTATTCTTCTTTTCTAAAGTGGAGACACAATCCACCTCCCTCCTCATGCAAGCAACAAACTATACTGGTGCAAAAATGGCTTCTGCCTAAAAACCTCAGAAACAGACAAAAAGCATACAGAGGCTCTGATTTTTAAGACACATTTAGAACTACTCATTTCTATCTCACTATGATATCCACAATAACAGAAGTTCCTGCTGCCAACTACCCTTTAAGGTGAGACATCCAGCTGTACGTTTCTCAACATTTATGTTCAGCTACAGGCACGATCCTACTACAACCCATACATGTCTATTCTTATTTACCAGTGATTGCAACTCACTCATTCAAGCAGATGCTGCACTAAGACAACAGAAACTCACAAGAAGAAACATATCACCCACAATCTCTCACTGGTTATCTATGCAGTTCTTGGTAAAGTGAAGGAGAAGCTTCCAGAAATAAGTACTTACCAGGAGGACAGACACAGAGGAAGCGGTTGACTTTATCAAGGCACTCTCCATTGTTCACACAGGGATTACTTAGACACTCATCAATATCTTCTTCACAGTGAACACCTTTAAAACCTGTTTAAAAAAAAATAAAATAAGAAGAGGTGACTGAAGGCCTTTGAAAGTACCCTTGAAAGTGTAACTACCCCTTATACCAGCACTGAAAGTCTGAGTCTAGTTTCATTGCAAGTGTGCAGTTGAGACAGAACCTACAAGGTAAGAATATACACCAGAGGTTAAAAAGAGATGTTGAATGTGTATTTTTCACCGTTGCTAAACATGCTCACTTAATCAGCAGTAACATAAGTTTGTGCTGAATTCACATCTAACATTTTCTTCCACTTGACGAGAAGGGGTTATGTTTTAACACTTGGGAAGATATCGATATATTTGGCTATGCACTACTATGAGGTAAAAGATAAACAAACACAGAAGATAATTTTAGCTCAAGGCTTTTTAGCTAATGACAGAGTAAAAGAAAAACATTAAGGAGGGTGAAATACTTGGGACTAGAGTTCCACCTTTCAAAACAGATATTAATAAAAACTCATTCTAGTTTTCATAGGATCAGCTGATCACCTGCAGGCGTCACAATTTTTTCATTACACTTTATAAAACTGTGCAACTGGCAACTTGGACTCTTCTTTTTTTACCACTTTCTATCAGAAAGCAAAAGAGCAGACGACATTGGTATGCTGGACATTCAATTTTACAAGTGCGATTTCAACCAAGTAACTTTTTATTTCCTCAGGTCATAGAATCATAGAATGGTTAGGGCTGGAAGGGACCTTCAAAGGTCATCTAGTCCAACCCCCCTGCAAGGAACAGGGATATCTCCAACTAGATTAGGTTGCTCAGGGCCTCATCCAACCGGGCCTTGAACGGGAGCTTGCATAATTTGGCCAATTTGAAGCAAAGACAAAAATCAAACACTATTATCCAGAATGATCATACACGTGTCTCAAAACTCAGTCACTTTTAAAGTTTGCACCTGCTTTGTTTTCACAAACTTAAGTTTCTGCACATACATTTTACCAGCTATAGTAACGAGTATGTTCACATATACTCCAGGCTCAGAATGCTAACTTTCTTTGCAGATGTAAAGACTGGTTTCTGTCTCAGTCCTCTAATTGCTTTCTCCCTCCCACACACAAATGCCAAATCCTCCTGGTTGGTGCCACCACAGCAACCTCTCTCTCACCGTTTCATTAAGCCTCACCCCTTTGTAATTTTGTGTTCCACCTCAGCAGAGCTGGCAAGCCTCCCTGTGCTTTGCCTTCTGAGTTTTCCCTTTGCTAGAAACTCTGTCTTTATTAGAAACTCCCCTCACCTGGCATACAGAGACATGTGAATCCTCCGATTTTATCCAGGCAGGTGGCATCGTTTTGGCATGGATTTGAATGGCATTCATTGATGTCCATTTCACAGCGAGGTCCTGTGTAGCCCTTCAAACACTCACAGTGGAAAGAGCCTTCTGTGTTTACGCATTTCCCAGCATGTTCACATGGATTGCTGTTTGCTGCAAGAAAAATATATATGTGTGTCAAAATCTCTCCTTGGAGCAGGAAAGCCACAGCATTCCTTATTAGTCATGGTCTTTTCCAGTGGTCATTCCTTTCTGACATGTAATACTGGGAAAAGACTGTTCCTCCTTCTGGGGAAAGGCTGCTGTGATTGAAGAAAACATGTGGCAGTTACTTGCCTGTCAGAGGCAAGAAGAAAGATTGCCACCATTACCAATGGACCAAAGGAGTAACTCTGGTCCGTATTACTAATGACAGTTCTTAAGAGGAGGGTATCAAGTGGCAAGAATTAGAGAATTAATGATGCTTTCAAGGTCTTATCTCTAGATCATCTTTTACATTTACTTCACTCCTGAGGGTGACAAGATGCTGCCACAGCCACAAAACAACCAAACTAATTCTCCGCGTGTTTTCAAAAAAGAATGGCACTCTTGTCCAAGGAAGGTCAAAGAACAAAATTCAAAGAAGTGCTTCCTTCCAATACTTCCTTGAGAGCTGGTTAGGTACTACCTTCACACATCACACTCTAGAAGCATGAACTAGCAATCACAAAATTTTAAGCAAGTCTGTGAGAGTCCAACTAATCCCCAAAACAACAGTATGATATCAGAAAACTACACCTTTAAAAGCCCATGTGGTCACCAGTCTCGGAAGGCACTGAAAAGATCCAGCCGTATTCTGGCTGTCAAACAGGCTTGATATATTTCAACCAAGGCAGGAGCTGCAATAACTCCCACAAGAACTGCGGTACTTTTGTTGTACACTGCAGTTCTAAGGGTCAGCTTATTTAGCACATCTGTTTGCGTGCACTCCTCACACAACGCTAAAGCCTTCCTGTACAATGAAGAATGGTTAAGCATCTTTATGCTTTTCATATTCTGTAGGCTGTTAGCCTTCTGACTCAGCCCTTTGCCCCAAGTCTCACACAAGATTTAAAACTCATCTAAAGGCACTGAAATGGAAGAGGGAGGCCAGGAAAGGAGTGGCACTTATGTTAAGAAGCTATGACAAAATGTTTATTCTTGTCCCTTGTTAGTTCAGAAAGCAAATGACCCAACTACCTGTTCATGTACTCACAAATAGCAAGTAGAAACTCACCCATTGCACACTCATCCACATCCTCAGTGCAGTCTGCTCCCTTATGGCCTTGAGGACAGGTGCAGATGTAGTGTCCATTCACAGGATTGGTATCACACAGAGCACCCTTCTGGCACGGATTGCTAACACACGCATCATCCAAGTGGCACAGAAGACCTAAGAAGCATACAAGAGTCATTCAAAAAAGTGAGATATAGCAGTCAGACCGTGTGTTACACAACCAAATTCTCCATCCTGATATTTCAAATAGAGACTTCCACAGCCAGAAGCTTGAACAATTTCTTATAAGCTTCAACCCATGAAACCCCAGGGCAGTCTACTACACACTTATAAAATGTTATATGTAAACATAGATTCTGTTACTTAAGAGGTGTCTCCAGGACTTCTGGAGTAGTACAAGGGCTTGCTATTACCAAAACCTCCTTGGAGGAGGAGCACTTCTCTCTAGCCAGCATAATGATTTTTCTGACAGTTGAAAACACAGGTGCACATGAAGCTCACTTTCTTAATTCAGATATGCTGATCACTTGCATTTCCAGGTAGTAGTTAGGAGACCTTCATGTTTTTACCTACTCTACAACAGCAGGTTTTCCACTATACCAGTACGGACAATCCTCACTCATGCAAAAACATCTAAAATTACATTCTAGACTTTTAAGTACAATCATCGTTACATGGCACAGACCAAGTCACCCTCACGTATAACTTCTCAGGCAACACAGGTTCTGCTAAGCACCAGAAAAAGATCTGCTTTCCTTGCAATCTAAACTGTAATAAGTTTGCCTTCCAGCCTAATACAAATACTTCTTTGTCCTGAGTTACAGAGATTTAAAAGGTCCTTGCTTGTGGACAGCACATGTTTCCTTTTGTTCTTCTTGGTTTGGTGACAAAGCATGTAGATAAACACACCACTTTAAGCAAATGCATGAACTTGAGGAAGTATCTTCTTTTAAGTGCTAGACTTATGCAATTTTTCTGTCCTTACCTGCCTTTCCTTCTGGACAAATGCATGAAAAAGAAGCCACTCGATCAATGCAGGTAGATCCGTTAGCACAGGAGGCAGTGAAGCAATCATCAATGTTCTTACTGCAGTCGTCCCCGCTCCAACCATTGACACAGACACAGGCGTAGCCTCCGTTGTGGTTGGTGCAGGTACCTCCATTCTGACAAGCGTTAGGCTGGAGCTGACATTCATCAACGTCTTCAGTGCAAAACTGGCCTGATGCACAGAAAAGAAAAAATTTAATGAAAGTTCACACACAAAAAGATACTTGCACAGATAATGTAACCAAGGGAAACACTGTAGTCCAACTTGACTGTCACTTCTTATTTCTAGGACATTCAAGCCTGAGAACTTCCAACAATGCTGTTGTCAAATTAGGCAGGGCAGCTAGTATCCCTAAATGACCCCAAAGCAGGAGCTGAACTGCAAGTAACTTTAAAAAGGCGCAGCACGAGAGCCAGCAGGCAGCCTGCAGTACATGAAGATACATCTCTAAGGACGTGAGAAGCAGAAAGATGAAGGCCTGCCTGCAGAACAGCCAGATGGACTAAGAACAGAGAAGATGGCCTCACAAGAAAACCGTGGCCAGAGCAGTGTCAACAGGCCAGCAGCAAAGTAACTTTTGTCAGAAGAACTTAATTCTTTCCTATGTACTTACGCAACAGATACTACTTACTGAGAAAGAATAGAATTCTTGAGACTCTTCTAAAATACCCATTTTCCTTCCCCCAGGTATTTCCACAGACAACCACAATTCATGCTTTCTTGGTTGTTGGTTGTTTTTTGGTGTGGTTTTTTTTTTAGAGACAAGATAAATACTCCAATAAAACACTTTAATGACTGGAGATATTGGAGGGCAGAAAACAAACGCACACTGTTCCAGGGAGTTTTAAGGAAAAGGACCACTGGACCCCTAAGTATGAAACCAGTTTCACAGGATACTGAATTTCACAGTCATGTCTATGGGAAGCTCTGTAATTCACATTTATTAAGGTATTTCTTTATCCAAATCCACCTTGCTTTGACATCAAGATCTGGAGAATCTACCACTTGCATCAATATTTTGTTTCAACATTTATTCATCTTCTCAAATTTGCATGGTTTACTTTTAAGCTGAAATTGTTTAGCTTAAGTTTCAAGTCATTCATTCTCATATAGAGTTTCTTCAACAGAAAAAACCTAATGGCTAAGCATCAGCTAATTTCTTCCCAGGCTGGCATACGGGTGCACGTGTCACACAGTTCACAATATTCTTTTTGATAAACTATTTCTCCCCTTTTTGTTTCGTTAACAACTCTCTAGCACTGAAAATTTGCCTTTTTTTTTTTTTTAACATTTCCTTGTAACTTGCTCTTTTACTACCCTTCCTAAAATGTTGATATGATATATGTAGCACCAAAAAAACACCCTTTATCAGAGGATAAGATTATATTTGTTTGATGGGAGATCCTCCTGCCCCACCCTCCCAGCTGACATCACCTCCTCCCTCACTAGCTTGCAGCAGCTTTCCATTATTTGGGTCAAGACTCTTAAGCAATTGTGTTGCTACTACCGAGATCCTCCCATTTGTCATCTCCAGCTACTGTATCAGCTGCACACTTACATTTGCCTGGAATCTCCCTGTATTCCAAGAATAAGACATTCAAGAGCAGGCCACAGATCTTTCCTGTCAGTTTGCCTGGGCTCCAGTTTATTCAGGTTTGCCAATTTAAAAATACTTACTAGATGTTGCTGAACTGTCACCTTTTTTATTAACGGCCCAGAAATTATGATGCAAGTGTGCATACACACACCCTCCTGCGAGACACAGAACTGCAACGTTTATTGTTAGCAGGAAACCACTCAGTCTTAACCATCTCCATCTACCATACTCAAATCATGATTTCTTTTGTTCTGAAAGTACTTAAATAAATCTTGGCCCTTGGTCCTGTGAGCTCTGGATTTTTCCTCCCTTAGTGGCAAAGAAAAAAAAGTTATTTTTTAAAAAAAGTTGCACAATTGACTTTGTTCTATGCATGTGTTCCTTCCTCCAGCAGGACTACTTCCAAACAAGGATTTATCACTTGAAAATACGTAAAAAAAATTTAATAGTAATAAAAATTTCAATAAGGTCTTCAAAATTAATTCTCACTTCCCAGTTTACTTAGTAAAACAGTTGAGGATAAATCTAATATTTCATATTGCTATCTGCAAAATATAGCTCTCTATAGCATGAAAAAACAAAACCACACATTTGTCATAATAGAAGTCGTTTGTTCATTTTCTTTCGACACCAGCTTATCAGTAACCAAACTGAAAAGAGTCAGTTATCTCAGACTGGTTCCTAGTAGTTGTGCGTATCTCGCAACTCAACACAACTGACTTCCCTTTAAAAAAAAAAAAACCCAAACAAAACAAGACGTTATTTGCCTATTATAAAAGTGATTTTCCGTCTTTTCTTGGAGGGGGCCCAACCCAGATCAAAGAGCATATTTCTGACAAACACTCATCTGTAGCCCAATCGTTCTTGCAGCACTTACACCCTCCTTTTGACTGCAGCCAATTCAAACTCGGTAGCACTAGAGCGTGAACAGCTTTCAGCGCTGAAGCTGCCACACCGCTCCGGATGCTTATGCCTCTCTCGAAATCACTTGCCTTGATGCCTGGCTGAACAGAACTCCTGAAATATTAACAATATTTTGTAGTTTTTTTTCGGTGGACTGGGATTGTGTGGGGGTGTGTGCATGTTTATGGTTTGTTTTGGGATGTGGTGGTTAGTTTTTTTTTAAGCAAAGATGGGTAAACTACTCCCTCATATGAACTCCCTGGATTTGTTTTAACCTCCCACTTCAAGTGTCACTAGTAACATCAACACTTTGGGATTTTTTGAGTTTTTTTTTCTAGATTCAGACTTCTAGAAAGGACAGTACCAAGTGACATCACTGATGTGCTTGCAATAACCCTATGTCTTAAGTTATCCATATTTCTGCAGTGCTAAGATAAAATAAACTTTTAAGAGGTATATCAATGTCTCCACAAGAGAAGAATAGAGCAGAACTTAAAAGTTCTTTGAGCAATTTAATTGTATTTCAAGAACATGCCATGTTTGAGCTCCTTGAATTTGATCTTCACTTAGCTTCTCATATTTCTAATGTTCCTTTTGCAGCTACCCAATTACAATCATTTTTGTATTTAATTATGAATATGAATCAAACACAGTTCCATCTTAATGCAGTTTGTTTTAAAAACAAAGGAAATCCAATTCAATATGAGGGGTGTAAACGAGCAGTTAACTGTTGCATTTTACTATTGAATATTATAATGAAAAAAACTTGTTCTTTATTGAAGTTATAATTGAAAACCAGACTCAAATAACTTCTGGGCAAAAACATATGAATCAAAGCAACATAAGGCAAGCAGAGCATATCTAACTACATTCATAAGTAGTCTCATCACCATCAAGCAACAGAAGTGTAATAGTTTTTGAAAAATTTTGGGACTATGTTTTAAAATACTACAAATCCCACACTAAAGTCCAAGGCACTTGCATTTCTTAACTGGAGCTGGTGAATTGGCAAGAATGGAAAGCAATTCCATTCACTGAAATGAATGAACTGAAAGTTCACTGAAAATACTTGAGCCCTTATTGAAGTGGGGCTTGAGTGGCTTGGAAACACATTCTGTAGCCCAAAGTCTTCAAAAGAGAGAAATAAAAGGTTTTTTTAGGTGGGGCGGTTTGGTGGAGTTTGGGGTTTCTAGATACCCTCTGGTTGCTTATATGGTGGTTTTAAATCTTTAGGTGTTAACAACATCAGATTAATGGTTAATATCATAATTCTTCCACCCAGGTTTTTGTAAGGGTTTTTTGTTTGGTTTTGTGTTTGTTGTTTTGTGGTGTTTTGGTTTTTGTTTTTTTTTTTTTGGGGGGTGACAGTGATCCAGGCAGGAGAAACCCTGGACTTTTCCCCCCACAGAAACCAGCACACACATTTGTAAATGGCTTTCAAGACTGCTCTTCCCCGAAGCAGCAGTATCAATTCTGAGTGGGACTGCAGGATAGCCACCACCTCTCATGCTCCCAAAAGGGCTGGTTTGCCCCTAGTAGAGACTTCAACTCCTTGTGCAAATGAGACAAAAATTAGTATTTTGGGAAGGTGCTGCAAAGAAAAGATTTGATGCTTCTCTTTTTAGCAACCTAGGTCTTTGACGTAGTGTCTGTCCTAGGAGCTTCCTGAATGACTTTTTCACAGCAGAGACAGAAGTATCTTTCAGCATCTGACATAAACCAGGATCTAATTCTAAAACCTTCCAATGAATATTCTACACAAGACTTCTCTCTGCCAGGTTAGTTAGGCAGATTTAAATCAAATGAGACAAAAGATCTCTGAAATAGTTTACTTGAGGGACGCTGCTTGGACTGAATCGTAACCAAGTACACTTATTTGTAGCAATGGACTTGGTAAGCCTGTTTTCTGCTTGTTAAGACTTTTAGGATGAATCAAGTCTTTCTTTCACAGAGCTGAGATTCAACTTCCAAGTGCAAACTCTTATGAATCGTAAAGTGTAATACGTATCTTCATAACCCTGGTGCTTCTGAATGCCACATCCACTTCACCTAAACATTAATTCATTTAGCTGGAAGTTTCCGTAGGTGTTTCTTTTCTCATGGCTGTGCTAGTTTCAATTACATTTCTAAAAGAAACCCAGTAAATATAGTGTGAACTAGTGAAGGCAAACAAATACACTAAGTGTACAATATTTTAATGGAAATGTAGAAACATACATGTAAAAGACAACAAGAAAGGAAACACAAATTACTCCAAGAAGCTAATAAAAGCCTAACCTGACCTTGATATTTGCAGAGCCTGGGAAATCAGCAAAATGCCGACTCAGGTTCTCAGTGACCTTGTACAAAGTAAACAGCTCATCCGTGCGGTATTTCAAAATTGAAAACTAGAAGTAGAAAAAGGGAACAGTCTTCAACTCTGAGCACTTTTTGCCCACTACGAAACTAAGTTACTTCCTGCATGTTTCCCCTCAGAAAAGCCATATGGAGTAAGACAGACATGTTGGTTGCTTTAATTACTCCCATTTTCAGACCAGTAGGAACTGGACAGGAACTCCAGGAGCTTCTCTTTAGGCAGACACAGGATGCAGTGGTTCAAGGCCCCTCAAATTGTTGTACCAGATTTCATGGACGAGAAACAGCTAGTCTTGTCTCCTACAGCTCTTTATGT